AGACTACTGAGTCGAGGATTTTTGAGAAAAGAATGAATGCATGCTTTGTGTTTCATCCTTCAAAACAGATTCAGATCCATGTTGAAGAACAAAATGTCACTGAACATGCAGTACTAAGAGCCTTTGTGCATGAATTGTAGAGAACTAAGAGAGAGAGAACAAAGATCTCAATCTACATCAAAACATGCAAACTGTAATACTGGAGAATCAGAACTGCAGGTGGCACTATGTTTCTCTCAAATGTATTTACTGTTGCAAATCAAAAGTATTTAAACATGATTTCCAGGAGACAAGACTGTATAACATAATCTTTAGTGTTTTTTTGTTTGTTTTTGTTGACTTATTTTTACATCTGTGCATTACATATTTGTCGCAATAGAAGGAGAAAGCTAATTTTGGGAGAAAAAGAAAATGAAATGTGAAAGCTCTGAAGTTAGACTGTAATGTTCTCCACTTCTGCTGAGAGCTACTAAGAAGTCCTCACAACTTTTTATTTTTGACTCATTGAGGAAATTTTCAACATTTCTGTGTCATTTTTTCGTTCAGTAAATCACATTCTGGATGTCTTTTTTTTTGGACTCCAAAAAATAGAAATTGTGCTCTTTAACTAAAGCAGCAGCTGTTACCAAGAACACATGAGGACAGAAATTGACAGAAAAGCAGGTAGGGAGTCCTCAGGCTTGTTCTTTCCTGATAAACCAGTGTGCCATCACTCAGTCACGACAGCTTTGTTGTGTGAAATAAAACAGATGCTCTCAGAGCAGTGTGCTTCAATGGTCTACTTGTTCCAGTGGAAAGTTGCTTGCTTGGTGTCAGGGGAAATGTCATGGATGCTTGGCATTTCCCCAGATTATGTATGCCTACGGTATATGTGTGTGTTTTTGTCTGGGGTAACCCAGTCATGGAAACAGATGTTGTCCTCCCTCGACTCTTTTGCTGTCTCGCTTATCCAATTTTCCTTTCTCCCTTTCTCCCTCTGTCTTACGGCCAGCTCAGCAAATCACCTTGATCCTCTTTGTATTTCCTTTAGCTCTCAGCCACATGCTAAGATAGCAAACCTCAGTGGCTGAAAGGTCTTTTGTGCAGCTAAAGCTACATGTCAGGTTGTTTTTTTTATTTTTTGCTTTGTAGGCCTCAGGGGTATACATCAGCTGATATGAGGGATTAAGCAGCCAACCCCCCGTCAGGAAAAAAAAACTCCTAATCTGCAATTTCTGGAATATCCGTTGCATAATCCTGAACCTCAGTCCACAGATTACGCAATGGATTTGCATTTTTGATGCTTTGTGTGTCCTGCTGTTGTTGGTGAGAATCATTGCTGAGGCAGTTTGGTGACTCTGACCCTGTTTAGTCTGCACTTTGGATGTGCAGTTCCTTCTGTGTCGGCTTGCATCTAAGTCTCTCTCTCTAGCTGTCTTCTTAACTCGCTGTCTCAGCTTCGGACAGTCAGCAGCATCTCTGCCCACCTTGCACAATCTTGCCTCTCGCTGCGTCACCAACCTCCCTCGGGATTACTGCCTCACGCTGCCTGTGTGTGCTGCTGTTCCTGCTAGATTTGCATCTGTCTCTGTTCTTGTACATTCTTCCTGTCCTGCTACTGAAGTGTTCTCTTCTGTCTTCAGACATCCTCTTAATTTATGTCCCGCTGTCCGTCAAACATGTGCTTTGTTGTTGTTGTAATGTGTCTCCTCTGTCTGTGTTCCAGGTCTCACCTCCTTTTCTCTGAGCAGTCTATATGCCAGTCATCTCAAACCCCTCTGTGTTTCTCTGCATGGGATTTCTTGCTCTTGTGTCTGTCTGGTGTCTCTTCCTGCCTGTCTTTCTATCTTTTCCACACAGAAAGAGCTGATATGATAGAATCTCTCACAGACTTGAGTCAAAATATCAATGCATATTAATGTTTAAACACAGATTTGGTGGTATCTATTTGCAAAAAAATTCTATTATTTGAATTTCACATGATTTCCTGTGAGATTCCACAGGAGCTTTAAGTGATGAATGACTTTCATCGACGTCTGTTGAGGATTAGCTGCAGCCCAGACAGCTGGTGCAGTTTCCAGCAGCCTGTAATTAACACAAACAATCAAGTTTGGAGCAGACAAGAAAGCTAATTAGAGCAGAGATTAAACTGAAAAATAGAAAACAAAAATGTATTTTCCACTCACTGTGTTGCTCTCTGCGAATAAGTGTACCTGTTCTCTCAGCATTTCAGGAGAGGTATCTCAAAATGATGTTTGCCTCAGGTCTGTTTGCTATGATTTAGTGGTCCTCAGCAGACCTGCACCCAGAAAACCCCCAAAACCCCAGCCTGAGCCGAACCTGGTTATGTAGGTTTAGACATTTAAATTTTGCTTACTTCTGTTATCATGGTGGATGTCAGGTTTTTGTAAATGCTAGTTTAAAGGTGAATTCTGGTTGATTATAATTTTGGTCATACTGTCACAGTTTTGATTATTGTTTCTATCAGTGAATATAACACTGTACTCACCAAAGTAGTGGCAGAGATCTGGGGAAACAACGACAAGGCTACAAAAAAGTGTGAATACAAGAACTCAGAGATGTAGGCAGTGACTACATTTACATACACAAAGTATTCCGGTATGTGCCCTTATTCCAAAAGAGACTATCTTCCTACTGAACTGTTTACATGGCTAATTAAAAGGAATTTTCCACTAAGAGGGGCCGTAAACATGCCACGTCTTTAACCACGTGGAAATAGGAAATAGCTGAGTGCTACTCTTGTGCCTACTCCTAGCCAACTTTTAAGGGCGCTGAGGCACGTTGCATCTGAAGTTGCGAAGCCAGCCAGCACCGTATCATATCCTACTTAGGAGAAATTCTGATTGCTGAGCTGATCTCAGAAATGATGTGTGCCACGATAGCGCTGTTTGGCATTTGAGCGCGCCTGCCGCATGTCTACATTAAAAACAGTGAATTTAAGGGCACACAAAACACGGCGTATGTACGGCTCCATATTCCCGTTTACATGTCGATGCCATTTTCAGCTATGTTTGACAGGGGTTGATGTCCTAGCATTGTTTTTCAGGTTAAAATATGGGAAAGTGGAACGGCCAGAGTCATTTTTGCCATTTTACCACTTTCACCGGAGATGGACTTGTTTAACCGTGCGAACACATCCTCCCACTTTTATTCATTTCAGCCACCATCTTGATAAGGTCGGAGTTTTTTACGCATAACCAAAAATCTGTTGATATCCAAGTCTTTCATAATGTTTAACAGCCTTTGCAAACAGCCATGCAAAACAACTGTTGGCGAGTTGGTTTGTGTACAGCACATCCATCACAACGCACGGAGCTGACTGTAAGAGGCAGGCAAGAGGCGGTGTGTTGTAAACTGTGGCTAAAACTCCAGTTGAGACACATATTTTGAATGTGCTGTATACATGCCCAAATAATGCTCCTAAAACCCAAATTATACCGGCATATCCAACATGTCTTAATCGAAAAAAGCTTCACTCAGCATAAGGCCTAATTCAGAATATCCAAACAGAATATGCTGTTTACATGACCCATATCAAAATCAGAATATTGTCATACATTAGTGTGCATGTAAATGTAGTCACTTATGATTTGGCAAAAAGAATATATCCACATATTTGATACCAATGGATGCCTTACGATGTCTAGTTGGGCTTGGGGGCGCCACTGCTGTTTGGGGCCGATGAATAAATAAATATATCAGTCAAGTTCAGGTTCGGGTTTATTCGTTCTTGGGTCCAGCTGGGTTCGGGTCTGCCTTTGGTTTTAATGCACAGGTCCATCTCTTATTTAAATACAATAGCAATAGGTCCATTTACATTTGGGCTTATACTTTTGGGCCTGTGAAATATTACATCATGTTCTTAACTTTCTCTCCTTTTCCTTCCCTGTTTCTCTTCCCTTTCTCTTCTCTCTCTGCAGTGCATCAGCCAGCATTAGGCCTCTTCCCTTCTGCTTCCCTTTTTCCCCCATGCTTTTGCAGAAATGGCTGTTCCTACTGGAGCCTGTGCTAACTTTCTCTTTCTTCCCTCCCCCCATCATTCCTCCCCTCCATGTTTCTCTGCAGTGTGATGGCAATTCTATTTGTGTGATTATTTTTAAATTATCTCTTTGGTGCTGCATTTTTTTGTATCCCAGGGAGTAAAAGTTAGACTTTTGGTTTTTTAGATATTTATGTACATAAGGCCATGGGCGATGTGCTGCCATGAGTCTCAACCAAACTTTTGATGATTTCAGTTTATCTGATCAGCGATGTGTTTCCTGTCCTCTCCCTCATCTCCCCTCCCCCCCATCTTGCGATTCGAAACAAATGCATCCCCAGAGGTCAAAGTTGAGAATAGCACAAGATCATTGGTTGAGAGCCATGCTGAGGCCTCAGTGGAAACTGCAAGGTGCAGTGTGAGAGAGAAACATTTGGAGTTACAGGTGTGTAACTCCTGGCCGATGAGAAGTATGTGTCATGATGATGATGGCATATATAGACTCACGCTTCTATATATGAATTTAGCTCAGTTACCAATTGACAGAATGCAAGAAACTAGTGCTGCACACTGCAACCTCTTTATTTCCCCTCAGATTCACAGACTAAAAACACCTAAAGTGTTAATTACTACAAAACTACAAAGCCAATTAATCAAATTCACAACCATCTATGATTGATGAGTGGAAATAAAAAATATGCAAGAAAAAAGCTCTGCCCGATACAACAGAAAAAACGCATGCAATGAGCATTGGGAGTAAGCACGCAAAAATACAAAAGTTACAGTAGCTACTCTATTTTGTAAAATAGTGTTCAGACAGTTTGCCTGCAAGTACTGAGATACTGGAAAACACCAGAGCTCTGCCCATGTATCACCCTCTCCCTCATGTCACGGGTACATGAAAAAGAGGATGATGGCCACCCTTACCTCTAAAACCCTGTGACCTGCAAATACACAAGGAACAATAAAGTGATACTGGAGGTTTCTAACTGTGTGTTCTCCACCCTGTTTCACTCTATAGCATCTCTCTGCCATGGAGCCTGTGTGGAGGTGGACTCAGACACAGAGGCGGTGGCCAACGAAGGCTTCAAACTGGGCTGCATCTCCTGTAAGATGAGGGGCGAGGTGCCCGCCAAGGCCACGGTCGACTGGCACTTCAAGGCTTCGGATGAGACTGAGTTCACCCACGTGAGTAGTAATAAGATTTGCAACAAGGTTGGAGCGTATCTGTGTTCCCCAGCTCAGTAACGTCTTAATATGATTCATTAAGGAGACCTTTCAAAGGGTTTCATGTTCTCAGCAAAGGCCAAATGTGCATTGTATTTTTCCCTGGTCCAATATGTTGAAATTAGCCTATAGCCTGCTGATATTATATTCCTTGAAATTTACTCCCTCAAATTTGTCGAATAGACAGTTTTCTTGATTTAATGGCTGATCAGATTTTGACCATTCAAACTGCATTTAAAACATCCATCTTGCCCTTACCAAACTCTTACAAAGTTAGTTAATATCAAGAGACGATGGACCCTGAAAACATAGGGATGACAACCAACAGGGCAAGAAGGACTTTAAAGGTTTGGAAAATACACTTTCATTCTTGCAGAGAGGTAGATTAGAAGATGAGAAAATCTGTGTCACTGCTGACGCTGCATCAAACCACCTGTCCATCTCATGCTCACTTCTGAACAAGACACCAAGATAACTGAACACTTTTACTGCTTGAGGCAGTAACTTCCTTGGTACTGACTCTCATCCCGACTGCTCCACGCTCAGCTGCAAACCACCGCCCCAGTGCATGTTGGAGGTCACAGTGTGACGAAGAATCACCACCGTAACTCAGTAGAGGGGTTAACCCTGGAACCCTGGGAGCTGTGTTATCCAGGGCAAATGGCTCATGGTAGGGTCTCCCAAGGTAAAGTCATCCCAGGGGAGGGGCCAGACTAAGAGCAATTCAAGGGACCTTGATGAATTGGCCAATGAGAGCTAGAGTACTTTACCCAGTATCGAGATACCGGGCCTCCCTTCCGGAGCTGACAGGTGAGCATGTGGTGGCTTGGCCTTGAGCCATGGGGCCCAGTCTGGCTCAGCCTGAAAAAACATCATGGAGCTGCCGCCCTGTGGCCCCACCTCCCGCAGGGATAGGCATCTGGGTTAGGTGCATCATGTGCCGGGCGGCAGGCAGGGTCAGGTACCGGGGCTGACTCTAGGGACGTGGAACATCACCTCTCAGAGGATAAGAAAAACATATATCCTACACAGCCGTTCGTAATGTTTTGACAGGGCTGAACTTTTGTTTCTGTATTACATTTAAAACTAAAATTACAGAGATTTAAACTGCCGCCCAATCGCCAGAAAAAATGTTGATATTGTACCTTGGATTTGTACAGTATTATGTAACAGATACGTTGAAACTTTACATTTCAACAGCGCTGTGTTATGTGTGGTTAGATTTAGGCACACAATCCACTTGGTTATGGTGCGGAAAAGATCCTGTTTAGGCTTAAAAAATAAAGTTTTGGCGGCACTATCACAGCTGGAGAAGCCGCTAATGTCTAAATAAAAAACAGCTGCTATTCATAACACTGTCACCTGGTTAAAAAACAGCAATGAGTCACTACAAAACAACTGGTTTTGTTGTTTGTTGATCTCAAACAGTGGTCAGCTCATATACTATGTCACTTTGGAAACGCTGATATGATATGTTGAAACATACAAATGTAAAGTATTCATGCGTTTGCGGAAATGTACAATGCCAACAATTGCCTCTGGTAACTGGGCTGTGACCCTAAACTTCCTGAAAAAAGGCCTGATGAAGGAAACCCACTCCCTAGATTTTCCAGCATATCTAATGAGGGTGAAGCCTGCAGCCGAGGAAGTGGCTGTGTGGTTGTGGTTTAAATTTGGGGGAAATCGGAAATTATGTAAATCAGCATAGTCAACACTGGAAGAAATGTTGATAGTTTCACCATTAAACTAATGTCCACCACATCAAATGCAGCAATTTTCTCCCTGATTTAATAAGTTATCATGTATCCACTAAAGCAATCAGCACAAAGCCCCAAATACATCCATCACAGCAGGGTCATTTGTCTTCTTTTCTGGGAAACAGCTGCAATGCATTTATCATGAGAGAGAGCAGAGTCTTGCATTTTTTATGACAGGCTTTTTTTCCCCCGTGTGTCGACTGGAAGACAGCGTTTTTGCTGAACTAAGGAGTCCTCACCAGGCAAAGCAAAGAGGCCATTACAGTATAGTCTTTTAGCGGGAGAGATCCCATTAGCCTTCTGCTGCCATTTAGAATCTGTATCCACTAATTCACCAGGAAGAGCAGAGGTCAGGTCGTAACTGCAGCTCAGTCGATACAAAAAATCACCAGCAGTGGTGATGGGGAGACTGGCCGTGTGTTTGTATGAATATTCAGTCATCGACATAGAACAATCGGTTTGTTTTATGCCTTTTAGCTGCAACCAGCAGCTCTGCAGCTCGCTCTGTCGGTTGGTTGATTGGTTGGTCCACCAAAATTTCCCCACCCTTTGATAGCCAGTTTTTGCCCTAGGACAGTGGTTCCCAACTGGTCCAGCCACAAGGTCCAGATTTCTCCTTAGTCATTAGCTCAAGCACCACACAGTTTAATATATTCAGCGTCATACTTGTGTTTGGCCATGTCGTCAAGCTAGCTTGCTGTCTCTGTCAAGTAGCTGTCTAATAGTCATTCACTCTACAGCAGGAAACAGCATCTCATAATAAAAGCTCTGTGCTGGAAATTCACTGTACCTAAAACTTAAGTGTGTTTTTTACAAGCTTGACATGTTTGTGAGTCACTGTCGGTCCATTCAGAATGGGCCAGTGACCCACTTTTGGACCACAACCCACCAGTTGGGAACCACTGCCCTAGGAGGCTGAAATTTGGCATGAACGTCACAGCTATTGTGAATTCATGTTTTGTTTTAAAGGGCTAGTGTATAGGATTTAGGGGGACACATTGGAAGAAATGGATATAATAAGTATGTTTTCTGTAGTGTATAATTACCTGAAAATAAGAATCGTTATCTTAGAATGAACTGTTTATATCTATGTTGGGAGCAGGTCCTCATCTACAGAGTCCGCCATGTTGCACCACCAAATTTCTACAGTAGCCCAAAACAGAAAAACCAAACACTGGCTCTAGAAAGGGCCATTCACATATTTGTGTCAATCACCATAGTTAGCAGCCCCTCTGTGATGAGTGCGGTTGGAAAAACACCAATTTTTTAACATGAAACTGCTTTATTCACTGTTTTTACTGGTTTATATCACTGGGTCCATTTGTTTTGGAAAGTCGGCCTAAGTGTCCTTTTGCAAATAATTAGGCTCCAGCTAAAAACCTCCTAAATGTCTGGATCTCAAGTTATCAGAGAAAAAAGGTGAGCACACATTAGCAGCTGAGCTAGCAGCCGTCTGCAGCGCTCCGAGGAGCATTGGAGAACTGCAGATTTCTGAAGTCAAACTGCTTTGGTCAGTGGTCTTACCAGCTTGAATAACCTTGTCCACTTGTTTTGGAGATGAGGAGACCTCTGTGGATAATTTGGCTCCTGGTAAAAAATAAAAACCCTGAACAATGAACACTGAAGGAATGTGTGAGTCCATGGGAGAGGTTTCAGCTGGTTGCAATCTGTAGTCCACACAGCCAAATGCCATTAAATCCTATGATTCCTACACACCGCACATTTCATAATGAAAGTATGTATTTCTGGCTCTTTTTGTCATTAGGAGCCAATGGACTGAGGGTCACAGGCAGGTTTGAGACGTCAGAAAGTAGTCAGAGATGGATTAACTCGTTGTTGTTGACAGTAACAGAAATACAGAACACAACCTCATTCCCCATGGAGGTATAAGCATGTTTCAAGCACTAAAAGTGTCATTGCATACTGGAGTGAACTGCATGTTCATCAGCCAAAACCTTTGCCTCAATGCAAAGCTTACATGATTTGTAGCAAATGGATTACAACACGCAGGGACACCAGTATTATCTTTTAATGCTCCTATGCCTGTAACCCTTCTCATTCTGCTGAGCATTTACAGTCTCTATTTCTCTCTTCGCCTCCTTTTCAAAGACATTCCTCTCTGTACTTCTCTTTCAGTTATACAGCTATGAAGAAAAAAAGCCCTATATCAGTGACTCACGTTTCTACGATCGTCTGGACTGGAACGGCAGCAAGCATACGGACGACCTTCAGGATGGCTCCATCTACATCCTCAATGTGACCTTCAATGACACGGGGACCTACCAGTGCACGTTCAGCCGCACCCTCATGTATCCGAACTACGAGTTTCAAACCAACGCCACCAAGATAATCTCCGTGAAAGTGGTGCCACGACGTAAGGACAGAGGGGAAGGATGTTGTAGCCTACTGAATGTTTGAGCAGGGAAAAGGGAAACTGAATTAGCCAGTTGCTTTAAGAGATAGGGCCCTAATGTTCATCATGTAGTGGTGTTGACACTCCTAGAGGTTTTATCACAGCCCAGAAAACTCTGCTGTCATAGCGACACTCAATTACAACTGCTTGAATCAATATTTCTATATTATCGAAAGAGGTTGTTCATTGTCAAAAACACACAAACAATTATCTTCAAACTCTGCAGTTCCCCCTCAACTCTAAAGAACATTGAAAACAATTAATCAATGCAGGTTTAATGAGTATTTTGAGTCAATAACTGCTCTCCTCAGCTCTACAGAGCATCTTTCAGCTCTTCATTTTGGATTTCCCACCTTCAACTTTAGTGTTTGTTTCACAGCATTCAGGCTATTTCCCTCAGGAGGTGATGGAGACAAAAAACAAAGGTAATTGGGGAGTGAACATTCACAAGGCAGCCACAGGTTCGCAGTATTAACTTAAAAGATGACTTAATTTCAATCAGGAAAAGCTCATTCTGAGAGAAAAGAATATGTATTTGCATGAGAAATGTTAAAAGTCTTTACCGATTAGACCCCATTATAATGTCATATATTCCAAGAAGGTGGTAAAGACGTAGTATATTAGGGAACCCATCCTATGGAGTCTAGATGCTGGTTGTGATGAGTTGAAGAGGGAGCTGAGGATCTGGATGTGAAGAGGACTTTTGATGGGCTTGTCCTGGGCTCTGGATAAGGTGACTGGCGGCAAACTGGGTGGAGGAGGATGTGTAAAATGACAGCTGACAGGAGCAGAGAGGAGAACAGATTTAAAGTTTGGCAGCAGCAACATGAATGGCTGAGGGAGATCATGGCTGAGTTTGATTGGCTAACCAGGAGAGGGAACACCCATAGTCAGCTGATTGGTGGAAGTGGTGGGAGTGGTATAGAAAAAGAATAGTCTTCCAGATTGAATTTATGCTAAGCTTCATATGATGATAATATGTTGTGTTTATAGCTTGCTCTGCCCCAAAGTGGTTAAAAAAACTGTAACTGTGAGTCAAGTACCTAAATAAGCACAGAGGTGTCCCTCAAGGTTCGGTGCTCGATCCACTGAATCTCATCACTTGAATCAGGCTGATTAACTAGTGTTTTGTTTTTTTTGTTTTGTTTTTACTGCCAGGCTTCCTGTAGCCTGTGGGGCTCTTACTGCAGAACACTGAGCCCCTGTGGACGTTTGATAGCTTAATGAAGTCTTCCACTGCTGGAAAGATGGTCTTTTTTTATAAAACCAGGCTGTCCATGCTGTAAAAATGTAATGTAATGTAATGTACTTTATTTATATAGCACTTTACAACGACCACAGGTGAATCAAAGTGCTTCACAAGACATTAAAAAAAAATTAAAAACACAACACACAACACATTCACGAATACAAAAAACAACAAATAAAAGGATAAAACAATAAAATAAAATAAAATAAAACAGGAGCATCACCACATTACTGAGTATTAAAAGCCATCCTAAATAAATAAGTTTTAAGTTTAGATTTGAAGAGGCTCAGGTCAGAGGCGAGACGTATGTCAGTGGGGAGTTTATTCCAAAGCCTGAGTGCGGCAACAGAAAAAGCTCAGTCACCCCAGTGTTTGTGTTTAGACCTGGGCTCTCCCAGCAAGAGTTGGTTAGAGGACCTCAGAGCCCTGCCACACTCACGGACAGTTAGCATCTCAGATAAATAAGATGGGTCGAGGTCATTAAGAGCTTTAAAAACAAATATTAAAAGTTTAAAATCAATTCTAAAACGAACTGGAAGCCAGTGGAGGGAATAAAGGACAAGACTAATGTGCTCTCGTCTGTTAGTGTTAGTTAAAAGGCGGGCAGCTGCATTTTGCACAAGTTGAAGGTGGCTAAGAGCAGACTGGGAGACACCAATAAACAGTGCATTGCAGTAGTCGAGTCTAGAACTAATAAAAGCATGAATAGCTTTTTCAAGGTCATGACAGCTTAAAATGTTTTAACTCTGGCTAAAAGAGGTAGTTGGAAAAAGCTTGTCTTAACAACATTGTCAATTTGTTTATCAAATTTCAAATGGTTGTCAAAAATTACCCCCAGATTTCTCACCGTAGGGCTACATGTAGAAGGCAAGGCGCCCAAGCTGGTCGTCCCAGTATCCCTAAACACAATGCATTCTGTCTTATCCTCATTTAAATGAAGAAAATTTTGAGTTAACCAATTCTTGATATTAACAATACAATCAAGTGAAGAACTTAGTGCATTATTATCTTTTGGCTTCAATGGCAGATCGATTTGCAAGTCATCGGCATAGCAGTGAAAAGATAGATTGTATCTGGCTATAATTGACCCAAGTGGTAACATATATAATAAAAAAAGCATAGGGCCAAGAATAGAACCCTGTGGGACCCCACAGGAGAGGGGGGCGCTAAAGGAGGACAGGTCACCAAGCTTACAGAAAAGCTTCTATCAGATAAATAAGACATAAACCACTTAAGTGCAGTGCCATGAATGCCAACATAGTAGTTCAGGCGTGATAGGGGGACTGTATGGTCAACCGTGCCAAAGGCTGCCATGAGATCAAGCAGCACTAAGACAACGGGACACTTGGCGTCAACAGACAGTGCAATATCATTGTGCACCTTTAACAGAGCAGACTCATTGCTGTGATGAGACGTAAAGCCAGACTGGAATTTCTCAAAAATAGAGTTGTTTTCTAGAAAAGACTGCAATTGTATAAAAACAGCTTTTTCTAACACTTTAGAAAGAAAAAGAAAGAAGAAAGAAAAGGCAGATGAGAAACAGGTCTAAAGTTAGATAACACTGATGGGTCAAGATGAGGTTTTTTAAGAAGGGGCCTAACTACTGCATGTTTAAAAGCAGTTGGGACAGTTCCTAAACTCAGGCAGGTGTTTATTAAAACTAAAAGACTAGGCCCTACAGTATTAAGAGCTGATTTCAGCACTCTGGTAGGAACAACATCCAGTGGACAGTTTGTAGGCTTCAGGGATTTCACAATATCAGCAAGAAAGACATACATACTTTTGATATTGGTGCTGTATGACCAAAGAAATTAATTTGTTAACTTAGGTTTGGGAGCAGGGCCACATCTCAGCTACACCTCTGATTACCTGCCAAGCCACAGTGTTGTGAAACAAAACTGGTTGAAAATCGGCAAAGTATCCCTTTAACTGTATGTGCAGCAGTATTTAGGCAGCGGTGAATTATGACTTGGTAATTCAGGCCAGAAGGTCGTGACTTATGACTCATCGTTTAAAAGATGTATGGTCTGGGCAGCCCTCATCCTTTTCATGGTACAAATTAAATCCCACCCCCTTTCTATAAGCACACTGATACAATATACCTCACCTTATCTCCCTCTCTGTCTCTCTAGTCACCAGAGGACTGGCATCCATCTTGTCTGAGGTGATGATGTACGTCTCCATCATCGGACTGCAAGTGTGGCTTGTGGTTGAGATGATCTACTGCTACAGGAAGATCGCAGCAGCAGGAGAGGAAGCTCTGAGAGAGAGCGCGTGAGTTAACACTTCAAAACACACAAACAAACACAGCTAGCCTCTTCTCCAGTGCCAGTCCTCCTTTTCAGATCCTGCTGGGCCGTCCAAATGTCACGACTTCACACCATCCGCTATCACCTTTGTTTTTCCTTCCTGAAACTGTTTGGGAAGCAGCGACACAATCTGTTTCACTCTGCTCTTTTCAAAAATAGCAAACATTTTCCTTTTTCCTTGACTGAACTGACATCTTGTTCTGATTCTGATTCACTGATCTTGACTGCCTGTTTCTCCTTTCCACTACTCTCTTTCCTTCAGGGCGGAGTATTTAGCTATAGCATCGGAAAGTAAAGATAATTGTGCAGGTGTACAAGTGGCAGAATAGCACCGGTAGGTCTGGATTCTCACTAAACATCATGTCTGAATCTTCTTGTACTTATGTGTTTACACTTGTTGCAGTGTTGCCACCAGTGTACTGGGTTGAAAGTAAAAAAAAAAATCAGCATCCCTCTAGTACTTGAATGGTTTGTTTTCTTTGGAATATATATTCTCCAATACAGAATATTGCATCTGAGATAGTAGCTCAGGTAGGGGACCTCTGCTTTAGCCAACTTTACTTAAGCCTACATGCATCTGTAGTTAGCCAGCAAGCCACGTTCAACGTTTGGGTCTTTAAAATGACTGAGTCACCTACCAAAGTAACCAAATCATTTAACTAAAGAAGGCGATATGCAATAAGTAGATAGATAGCTGTGTGCACAGCCTATCCTATATTCAGAGCAAATGCAGGACAGCAGATTCAACTAGAAAAGATCTCCGGCAAGCAGCCTGAGCTGATCGCAGCCACTCTAGACAATTGTAATTTCAGCAAACATGCCGCAGCATGTTTCAGAGCATGTTAAAAATATATGCCTTGTCTATTTTTGATGGCACTACAGCACATTGGACAAAACAGTTTTCCTGCTAACATGAAGTTAGCCTCAAACTATTAAGATAAATTGTCCCCTTAAATTACTTAATGTATCTGCTCAATAAAATTGCATTACTTATGTTTTTAGGCCTCCCCTCTGGACTCTTGCCAAATGCCTCTTTAATTTAGTACAAGTTTATTTTTATCTAGAAATAAAATATTATGTTGTGTTTTCTTTGACATCCCTTCAATGCATTTTAGATTTTCTCTACAAACCAGCGTTATTGTTTGCGCTTTGAGAAAAGGTGAAGTGTTACTTCATGTTATGACTGTTACGAATTCATTGTCCTCACAGTTTTATGTTTGTTTTTTTTCCATTCAGGTCGAGGAAGTCTTCAAGATTGTGACCTTGAGGAATCTCACATTCCCTCTTTCATGCCCTCTCCTCTCACCGCCACTCACATCCCGCCTTCCTTTCCACATGATGGAAAAAGCAAACCACAGAGAGGAGAAAGATCTCCGCTGAAAGTTTTCTCCTAAGTGACTTTCTGCAAAAGAATGACAAGGACTGAATTTTATCTGGTTTTGAGGGACTGAGGGGACGCATCAGGTCGTGATGCAACGGGACAGAGAGAGAGAGAGAGAGAGAGAGAGGGAGAGGGTTGAACTGTATATAGGTGTACACATATGCACAGATAATGTTATATATTATAGGCAAACATTGTATATCTACTATCTGCATGCTTCAAGCTAATCAAAATGACCAACATCATGCTTCTGATGTGAGTTAGTCTGATAAGCGTTCTCCTGAACCTGTGAGTGTTTCTTCTGTGCGTTTATTAAGCTGTTCCACATAAAAATGATGAATCAACATTGTCATAGCCAAAATATATATAAAAGGTTTTTAAAGGATTCATTTTGAACACTGGTAAGACTTAATTTGACTACAAAACATCTCACTGTTCTGATGAAACACTACTGGAAAGTACAGAGGAAACACTGCTACAACAGCTGATAATTTGTCCAGATATATTCAATGATTCATTTTTAATTTAATTAAATGCCAAAAAACAACAAGTATTTAGCAGAATTTCCCCCAAATCAGCCTGAAACGTGTCAGGAAACAGCATTTAGGCCAAAATGGGAGACATTAAATAAGAAATACCAAGGACAAGAACACAGCGCCCGTCCATCATATCAGCAGTGGCCACATATTAAGCCAATGTCTAAACTTATAGGACACTTACGTGTGCGGTTCAGTCCTTCCTGACAACACAACTAACCCTTTTATTTTATGTCTTTAAACATTCTTAACATATGGCTGTATCTAGGCTAACAGCTAACATGCTAACTATTATTTATATGTCACTAGTGACTTGAAACAAATTTAGGACGATAGGAGACGGGTTGAAATAAACCGAAATTTCCCTTTAATTTCAGTGGAATTTCCTTTTCATCAAAGCCTTTTCAGAAGACTGCCACCCTGTTAAAACTAGCTGTGTTATGCAGAGTTCACTCGGATGATGGTGAGGAGCAAAAACAGGCCCTGCAGCCCATGTGTGACTTCCTGTGACATATGAAAAGACGACGCCCACTTCCACCAGGCTAATTTGTAGCACACCAAAAATGAATATATAAATAAAAAAATGCAGCTTTACCAATTTATCCGAAGTGTTTTTAAAGTGTTTAAAGTAAATTTGTCTACAGTGGAAACTTCCCCACTGATGTGTAATTTCACACAAATGTCTTAGTGTTTTTGTAGAAACTTAAGGGCTTGGCTAATTGCTATATACTTAATATCCAACTGCCGTGGGCAAATGTACCACAAAACCTGTCCAGTGTGCCTCCCAGGGTGAAGCCAGTGAAAACCAAAAAAGAAAGAGCTGAAGCCTTGTGACAAAGCAGCTGTCCTGATTTCTCTTTCCAGGCAGCCTGTCACTGACTATCAGTGAACATTAGAGGGCAGCGAAACACTGCCATTCTGCATGCTTACTGTTCATCTCTTTTGTACCAAAGCTGAGTTACATACATTTTGAGATACTGAGAAGGGGGGACACACACACAGGAATATAATACAGAGGAACTGCATGCTAACTGATGGAATAAGCAAAGTAAAGGATAAAAACAGAACGTCCAATAAGATACTAACTAAAAGAAAAAAGATAAAACAAATGATATCGCAAGCAATGCTACACACTGCTTTACTGGGTGATTTACTTTCTTGGTATGCTGCATCAGTTAACATCTAAATGCCTTTTCCTGCACAGATGAACGAACCAGTGAAATGAAAACCACACTGCTCCCCACATTGTTGGTCTGCTTTGTGTCCATGTGAATAAAACTGCGGTTTTCACTTTATGTGTAGGTGTGAAAATGTTGCTTGCCACAAAAAAAAGGTGATACACAGGAAAAAAAATAAAATTGCTGAGAAAATCAGCCGTGTGTCATTTTAATTCTTTCAGTCTTATATAAACGGAAGGTGTCGGGGATTTCAGCCAGACGTGTCCTCGGTTCACACTTAAAGTTCATTTCCATTCACACGTTTTTTTTAAACATGTTGATTTTAGGCAAACAATGCTTCTCCAAAACCCTTTTCAGTTATTCATTAACACCAGCAAGTATACGTTTTTCACACGGTCATGAGGTATTTACTGATGTAGTTTAACTTGTACAGGGGATCAGATGGAGATGGAGGGATTTCTTCACATAGTAAAACGTGTTGATGACAGTCACGGTCGTAGACAAGGTTTTGGAAATATCCCAACACACCCCCTCTCTCCCCTCAGAATATCATGTCCAGACATCAAGGGACAAAAAAATGCTGATGTAAAGCCTCATCTACCCTTTATTTTGTTGACTTAAAAGTAGTCAGATGTACTCGTATTGAGTCGAACTATATTCACCACCTCCCATCTGTATGCCTCCACCAACCAGTCAAGTTGCAGTGACAGTATGTCTGTCCAGACTCATATGCAGCCATGACAGTAGACAATGCCTCAAATATGGATGTTGCTTCAAAGAAGCTACAAATTCGAAAAAAGTGAATGCCTCACACAAATCTTCAACCCGGCAATGCAGGAGATCTACACTATCAGCACAGTTTCAAGATGGACACCCAAGATTTGCTGCTCCTGAGTTATGACGTTGAGTAATAGCCAGAAAAGCATTTTATGCATAATATTATGAAGTTACAGTGAAGGTGACCTTTGACCTTTTGGATATAACAAGCCACTTCATCATTTTATGCTGTCAGATATTTGTGTAAAAATTTGGCATAATTAGCGTATGAATTCTTGAGTTATGGCTGGAAATGTGCTTATGAAGTCACAGTCATACTTTTTTTTTTTTTTTTAGAGAGTAATTTTTTGGCAGTGAAGAAAGGAAAGAGAGATGTAGATCCTTCGGCGTACCCTGTACAGTAGCCTGTTGTAACTACACCTCAGGTGACGAAGACCTCCTGTCTGTTTCTGTAAGCTGAAACCATTTCCCTCAGTGGAAACAAAACTTTAACATATTTTTATTTCACAGATTTAACGTTAGCATGTTATATTTGTTTGGAAAACATGTTTAGTATAAGACAGTTGTTTTGTCAGTGAACCTTGTGAGTTATCAATGGAGCCGTATTTTGTAAATTGTTGCTGTTGTCCCTGGCTTCATATGAGTAGAGGAAAAAGTCCGCTAGCTGCTAGGCTAACTTATACAATGTAAAATGCCATAGGCTTGTGCTAATAACATTAGCATGTTATATTTGTTTGGAAAACGTGTTTAGTATAAGACAGTTGTTTTGCTGGTGAACCTTGTGAGTTGTCAATGGAGCCGTATTTTGTAAATTGTTGCTGTTGTCCCTGGCTTCATATGAGTAGAGAAAAAGTCCGCTTGCTGCTAGGCTAACTTATACAATGTAAAATGCCATAGGCTTGTGCTAAAAACATTAGCATGCTGTATTTGTGGGGGAAAAGTGTCCAGATAAAGACAAGTGTTTGTCTGTGAATGCTGCAAGTTAGAGTGAAGCTGATTTGTGTACTTGTGTTTGAAATCGTCTCTATTAAGCCATGTTTAATGTGTGTTTAATGTGTGTTTTGAATCAACTTATCTTTACAGCACTTCACAGAAACCCTGATGCCAACTAGTGTTTGGGAGGTGTAACTGCAGAGTGACACAGACACCACCACACAGGTATAGATGTTCTAAACAGCATAGGCGACCTGCGAAGGCTCTGGATCAAATAACTGACAGATGAACGTACAGAGAAATTAACCATTCCACCACAATCCACTGCAAGATGTGACCCAAGTCTTTTGAATGTAAAGACACACAGACTCAAAGATGAGCGAGGAGCTGTTGCATGTTTTAGAACTTTTCATTTCTCTCCATGGCGTGGTGTACAATCACATCATTACAGTACATTCTCATCCCCACTTCTCATCCATCTCTCTCCCTCAATCTACCCTGAATCCCCCCCCCCCCCCCCCCCCCCCCCCCCCCCCCCCCCCCCTCCCCCCCCCCCCCCCCCCCCCCCCCCCCCTTAATAAATATTACACCATTTTGTCATCTGCGGATGGCCATGCACAGCGTGGCCCACATGCTTCTGTAGCCGTAATTTTCATTGAAACAGAGAGAGCTGGACGAAGGGGAACAGCACAGAGGAAAGAGAGGAAGAGTGGGGTTGAGCGATGAGAAGAAGAAGAAGAAAACAAAGTGATGGGTGAGATGTTTTCACATCATCGGAGGCCAGAGTCGAGTGGACGGAGAGGACAGGCTGAAAATAAACGACAAAATAATAAAGATAGAAAATAAACAAAATAAAAAGAGACAAGTGAGTCAAATTAATCTTACAAACACACACACAAATAAACAATACTGCAAAACAGATTCCCTTTTTCTTCACCTGGGCTTACAAAAATCTGGTTGGTCCTTTAGTTGTGAAATGTCCGGCCCAGTTGGACAATGAAGTAGCTGACAGTTCTGGTGTTAAGGTTTCCACCTCATCAAGTCTCGGTAAATCCTGAACTGTTAAGCTCATTGACATAGAGAGTGAGCAACTGAACTTGAAAGAGAAATCTCCAAAAAAACTTAACTCAACAAATGCTAATATGAAAATGCAACATCTGAAACAATGAGGACTCCTCATGAACACTCACGCACACATCTGTCAAGTCATTACCTTCTTTGCTTGTTTTTTTTCACTGCCTCTACACACATTCACACACAATTCATCATTATTATTATTATTATTATTATTATTATTATTATATACTACTTTGTTTGAAACATTCAAAAAGTACTAGCATCACTATTGTCTTTATTGCTGTGACCAGTAATCATTCTCGTGTATCTCCTCTTGGTCTGCACTGCAACAGCAAATCAGAGCACAAAATACCCAAATGACTTCTTGTAAGAGCAGGACAGGACTTCAGATCAAAAGTCATCGGTAATAATAAATACTGTAACAGTCCAGTCAGATGCAACTCGTTGTCCTAACAAACGATCCAATACACTGATTTTGAAATAAGATAAAACCCCGAAAGGGAGGAGTGGGATGGTGCTTGAAGTTCATCTTCAGATGTATAATTTACATCTAAAAAATAAAGGTGAAAACTAAAGTGTCTGGTGTTGAAATGTTCCTCATCCCCGTTTCATGGAGGCTTGACGACCTCAGAGGGGGCTCAACTCGGACATGGAGGAACAAATCCCAGATGGAAAGAGCGGGAGAGGCGTCCTGCTCCCTCTCCACTCTCTGTCTGGGTGTTTGTTGGTCACATCCACACAGCAGGTGGCATCCCCCCATTTTGTTTCAGCAGGCGTTCACTAGCGGCAAAGGTGTCTTAACTGTTCCCAGGACTGAGAGGACATGGTCCAACTTTCCAGAATCACTGATCCCTGTGAAATGCCAGAGGAGGAACTGAAGTCTATGATAGTCATAAAATGGTGGGCTCTGAAAATGAAGTTATTCTGAAATGCAGCTGGCCATTTTGAAATGTCTGTATGAGTCTTGAGGAGTGGATGGTCTGAAATCGGCCCACCAGTGGCCTGTTTACACACACACTACATACAGGTGACTTGCAGCTGTAGGTAAATTATTGCTGTGGTCCTGATAGCGAAATTGTTACTGGTTGAGGCTGTAGGCGACTGTCGCCATTTCAAGTCAGTCAGGTGAGGAGAGATGTGGGTAATGTGGTCCCCCTGTGTATCCCACTCCTGGTTTTCCATTTGGAGATGAGGCAAAGGGCAAACTGTGTGTCTCCTTTCTATTCTACCAGTCCACCAGGGTGTGTTCAGAAATGGGAGACAGTCAGCAGGGAGCTGTTAACCAGAAGAGGCAGGGCTCAGGCCTCAGTCAGGGACTCTGTGAGAGTTTCATCGGGGGGATCCTGCTGCACCTCTGGGACCACGATGCCCCGGTGGAGCTTTTCTAAAGACTGCTTCATCTGGGGGATAAACATGGATGGGGTGATGGGGTGATGGGGGGGAGAGGTCTAGTGAGACATACTGGATTACATAATGCAGCGAGCACATTATGAGCACAAGCAGTCTGTGTGACGCATGAGATTTCTTGCTGACTGGTCCCTGCAGAGGTGCGCTAAAAGCATTTTGCTTCACACAAGTAAAACACACACACACACACATACCTGGTCAAGAAGCGTGACAGAGGACTGCAGGATCTGCTGCCACTTGCTGAGCTGAGCCTGGTGAAATTGCCTCTGTAGCTGTAAGACCTGAGCCCACTCTCCAGCTGTCTGGGGCAAAGGACTGAGGAGAGGAAAATGGGAGGGGGGAGGAAAAGGAGGGGAAGAAGTGGGAGGAGAGAACAAGACAAATTCAGACTAGGGATGCACTGAAATGAAAATTTGTGGCCGAAGCCTAAGCCGAATATTATTAAACACTTGGCCGAATACCGAGTACCGAATACCGAATATCATTGTTTAGTTTTTCATTAGTGTTTGCAGATGAACCTCCTCCAGATTAGTGTTGTCACGGTACCAAAATTGGGACCCACTGTGCGATACCAATGAAAATATCATGGTTCTGAGTAGTATCACGATACCACAGCGAAAATGAGGCAGATGTGCCTTTTGTCATTTATGAAAAGATAAATCACTTTTCTATAATACATCAATGATATTTCAATGGAATAAATTACTTATTGACTTATTCATACTTCAAAAACAGCATCAATAAGTGATTAACATAGGGGGGATCAAAATAAAATAAATAAATAAAATAAAAATCAACCAGCCACCCTCCTCCCCTGACAGTCCCCTCATAAGTAAAGAACAGTCCCTAAAGTGCGGTGAGGTTTGTGGGCCGTTACTGACACAAAGACAGAAATATGAAAGGCTCGTTTCTCCTCTGACACATCACATACCTGTGTTCGGCTGGCTCAGCTGTTCAGGTACTTCTGGGCAGTCATGACTCCAAGAAGAGGATATTATTGGAACCGACTTGCCGGGTACGGAGAACGTTACTGTCTGTGTCTGTGACCCCCGTTCAACCCACAATCGGTGGGATTCGCCTTTCGTTTCTGCTGCTGGTTGAAATCTGTAGGCTGCTCGCACAGCGTGCTGAATGATTTAAGCCTATTTTGCTCGCTCAAAACTATTTTTAGTCGCAAATGCGAGTGCCTTGACGGACGGATCGCCACACTGCTGACATTTTATTCCGCCCGTCACGGCACACCGTTTGATCGCGTTATCAAAACACGCCGCTATTATTCGGCCTTGCTTTTAACTTATTCCACCGAATACCAAATGTGTGTTTTTTTGCAATATTCGGCCGAATATATTCGGTTACCGAATATTCGGTGCATCCCTAATTCAGACTATAGCCAGTAGGCAGACGTGAGGTCATGGTTCTTAAACCTGAAATAAAGGGGGCAGCACAAACAAGCTGTCACCTCGACACTGACATATAATCACATTTTCTTTTAATGATCAGCTTCTTAACAAACAGATGCCTATGTACATATCCAGCAGGTACGGAAACAACCAGGTACGGAAACTGGGTTTTCTCAACTTGATGAATGCAAGTCCAATATTCACTCTCTTTTAGCTCTATTCTGGTCTCCACCAACTCCCCAAGATACTATGTGGCTCTTAAAGGGATAGTTCTGACTTTTTAAAATGGGGTTGTAAAGGGGCTGTAAAGGTTCTTATCTGTATTCAATGTAATAAATACAATAAATGGCGGTCAGCGCACTCCCAGTTGGGAGAAACAGTCAGGAGTGCCACTACAGAAGCTCAGCAATGTACTGCTGTAGACAGGGGGCAGAAGCAACACACATTTTAGCAACCTATTAAAAAAAACAAAAAAAAAAAACCTATCAGCCCACGTGTACGCTATATTTAGAATACTTTTACTTCTTTACCTTGCTGCCAGAGGCCCTTTCAGACAAGGAACTGAAACCATTCTCTGCTTTCTTAACACCACCTGACTCCCTTGACAAAAACAGTAATTTTACCTGGCAGAACATGTGAGCCGCTGGTCAACAGCTGCCTGTATTGGTTAGTTTATGTTATTGTGTGACTTTGGTGAATCCAATCTAACCCTTTGAAACCCCAAACTCACACAATAACACAAACTGACCAATCATGGTAACAGTGGACCTGCAATTCCCATGCTCTCCAAGTTAAAAATACTGTTTTTGTCAAAGGAGTCTGGTGGCTTTGAGGAGAGCAAAGATAATGGCTTCAGTTCCCCGTTAGTACAGGCTGTCTGACAACAAAGTATAGCAGTGAAAATACTCTACTTAGCGTACACATAAACTGATATTGATTTCTTTAAGTGGCTGAAATACACTTCGCTGCTGACCCCACTACAGCAGTGGACTGCTCAGCTTATGTGGTGGTACTCGTGCCTGCTAAGTACCTCTTACAACCCTCCTTCAAAAAAATCCAAACTACCCCTTTAGGCAATTCAATCCTTCACTATGTCTACTACTTAGTTGTTAATGTTGCCTGTCTCCTGTTTGGGGAGGTCGTGTGCAGTGTTTAGCTATTTGGCTGAAAACAATGCTGATAAAAACAGTGAGAGTGAACCAAAACAGTTAATTTGCAGCCCGAAAAAACAAAACAATGAGCTGAAGGACCTCAAAATGCTGTGTAGAGTCAGGTGATCATTCTTTGTGGGTTCAGCATTAGAAATCATGTGATCTATTGTCAATAATGATAAAATATTAATTAGCTTTTCATCTACTTAACTTACAGAAGACAAGGGGATATGTTGCTTTGCATTAACTTAATACTCTGTGGGATATTTCCCACCTGAGATCCCACAAGAATAACTCCATAAGCCTGACACCACATGCCAATTAACACCACAACAGAGTCTATATTTGCATGGAAAACAGTGTGGTATGTTTACCTGTCAGCAACAGAATAGGAGTGCCACGTCTCCAGTGTATGGGCTGCCCTTTCCAGAGCATAGAGCTTGTAGAAGAGCAGCATGTTGAGAGCCACCAGCACCACCAGACTGACAGGGACAGAGAGAAAAGACGACTGTCTAATTTACTGACTGTGAAAAAGCTCAAAAACAGTGAAACTGCTTTGACAAGAAATCACTCAGAGAACATCAATAAGATGTCAACAGTAGAACAATACTGCCAGCACGAGGTGAGCACACACAAATATCTGTTGTTTGTCAATTTAATCACAACCTAGAACTTATTCACAACACAATGTGATTTTATTGAAGGAAAAATCCACCCTGACACAAATGTTAGTGTTACCATTACACTGCATGTTGTGTTCCTCTGCAGAATTTATCGCTGGTCTCATACGTTTTGTTTCTCGTTTATAACTGATCAAATGTAGATGTTAAATACCTAAATTTAGGACTACTTTCTAGACTCAGATATTACACACACAGATAGCTATTTCTTCTCTGGCAGTGGCTGCCATAGACCACAATGTGTTGTGTGCTGAGTGAAGGATGCTCCGCTATAAGCTGTTCATGTCTCTATCTTCATGTTGAACGCTCATCAGGAAACAAATCTTGCTCTTTGACGTTACTAGAAGTCATTCTGGGAAATGCTTAACTGAACTGGTGGTACATGAATCAGGTAAAGAAAAAGTGGGCAGTAAAATTCCTGATACACAGTGATCACACACAACATGAATATTCAGCTAGGAATATTTGAATATTCTTTCCATTTTTGTCATACAGAGTTTGAGAGTGTAAAGGGGAATTAGCGGAACGTTCTGGATGACAGTGACACTATGTTATGTTGTACACAAAACAAGTTAGCCATCTGAGCTAATGCCTGCTAACCACATGAACAACAGCTCGAAAATGTGCAACAACATTGTTTACTAACACTAGATAACAAATACAAACCAGAATCTGGATTGTATTAAGTCGCTGTGAGCTGTTAATTTACCACTTCTAAGCAGAAGGCATAAAGTTATCTAAGAGCCTGACCAGCAAAGCCTCACCTCCTCCGGGCAGCTGCCTCTGTCCCACTTAATCTCGTTTTACACAGAGATCGCGCTATAGGGCTGCTACAAAGTCCCTTTTTTTATATCCCCTTTGCATTTTTACACAGAACCAAACAGAACCATGTGTGATTTTAGACAGCATGCTGGTATTGTGGAATTAAAAGAGGTGTGACAGGTGTGGCACATAACACATAACACCTCTAGTGTGACATAACAAAGGCATTGGCAGCACTTTCTCAACACTAACAATGGCATAACATGGCAATAACCTCACCTCATTGTTTTCACAATATGCAGACATTTTTGGCCTCTGTTCCTCTTCTTTGAGTTAGCTGCTAACTGCTAACAGCTACTTTTTGAATCTGCCATTATTGATCGCACGCATAACATATTGTCAAAACATTACATGATCCTGTGCTGCCGGCTGTCCCGTTCATATAGACACTTTCTGGCACTGTTACTACCTCAGTTTGTGAACCAGAAGCTAGACAACTATGTTTCCCCATTCCGTGATTGTGTTTTTGATACAGAACAATGATCAATCAATCAATCAATCAATCAATTTTATTTATTAAGCCCAATATCACAAATAACAATTTGCCTCAGAGGGCTTTACAGCTAAAAAAAAAAGGTAGAAACCTCAGGAAGAGCAACTGAGGAGGGACCTCTTCCAGGACAGACAGATGATGCGGCATACCGGCCTGATACCCACCTTAAACAGGCAGTGTAAAACAGGCTTTAGTCCCTAGCCCTTTTTAGGATTGTGCAAATTTGCAGGAAAGCCCAATCAGTCTTCTTTCAGCACTGGCAGTATAAAAACGAAATTGGGAAGTGCGGCAAATTGCTGCCTACCTACTTTTGTTTTTACAGAATGTGCCTTTTTCGGGGCAATGGGGGGCGTGAGCAAATAACAAAACATGTGGCTCAGTGTGTGACGTAAACATTGACGTGAGAGGGAAGCCGCGGCTAGTCAGGCGGCGATTCTCTCGTAAGTCGGCCCGTTCCTCACCGTCCCCGTCATCTGACGGTTAATGGCCTCTTAGTTTGTGAGAGCAAGGAGGGCGCGCAATGCCTTGTCTCCTGAGTTGCTCATCTTTACAGTATCTGTCAGGTTTGCCTTTCCCTTTTGCTACTACCTGCTCGCTAATTCCTGCTATCAGCTGTTTCCTGTTTATCCACTGCCAGCGGCTCGCATGTGCAGTGTCATCAACAGCTCCTCCCACAAGTCATCAACAGCCCATCCCGTTGCGGAAGGCCGCCTCGGTCTGTGTAAACTGAAAGGGTTCCGCCAATATGATTACCCTACGAGACGGAAAATTGGGCGCCTCGGATCAACTAACCATTCCTCTGTGTGTATAAACACTTGCAGCTTGCCGGCAAAACGTCCTAACATTTGCTGAAAATCTGGCAGTGTAAAAGGGGCTCCTGTGTCTGTGGCTGCCTGCACCGGAACGCAACATGAAAGTGGGGTACTCAGCAGCATTAAAATAAAATAAAATGAAATAAAATAAACACAACTGCTTGACTTGAACATTCTCAGGGGGCAGCCCTAAAATAAACTTAACTACAAGTGTGAAAGTGACTTAAAGGTGTGTTTTAGACTGAATGTGAAGGACAACTAAATGGCAGAGAGCACTAACATACACATAGAGATGATATCTGTTAGTAAACTACAATAAATGTTTGTCTAGTCCTTTGCAGGTTTGTGAAAAACAGATATGGACTTAAAAACAAATTAAGATTTAAAAAAAATCACTCTAGCAAAAACATTTGTGTTGAAGAATTAGAGACAAAAACGTGCTTTAAGTTAAATTTGAGTGCACCTTAAGATTATCAAAAGGGTGGATTTTTCCTGTATCATTTACATGGTTGTTATTTATGCAGCCAGTGGTGTAAAAATCAAAGCCTCTCATACGAACCTGATACAGATCCTATTCACAAGAAGTATTGCAGAAAGGAAGGGAAAAGAAGAGAAATAGCAAGAAAGGCATTGTGAGGCTGTTAGTATGCAGAGGATCGATATCCAATGTGTCTGAATGAGGGAGCATTCAGACGTGGATAGAACAGAGACAGCAGAAAGCCAATATAATCAAAAATATACAATCAAACCAGGGATTTGATCAGGTAGGAACTCCTTAAATTCCACTATATTATGTACTGTAAAAACTGATAAGACATAATACTGGAATTTGATCAGTGTATAGTACAAAATTAAAGTGGAAACGATTTTGAGTTATGACAGCCAGAGGGGAAGCCCAGGATTTAGAGAGTCTGCTGTAATTAATAAACTTAATGCCATGAACACACAGTGCACACATTTGAACTTACATGAAGCTGACGATGAGGAGGATGGTGGATATACTGTTGGGTCCTCCACCATGTGAACGATCTCCCAGCTTCATATACTGACCACCTGAAAAAATGAAAAACAAGACAGGTTGTTTAGTGATCATTATGTTTACAATGTAGATTTCTAACAAAGGTAACTAAATTAGGGCTGCAACAATTATGTTCGTTGGTAATTCATCTGTACCTTATTTTATTGATTAAACACTTCATTATTTGGCCTACAAAATATTAGAAAACAGTGGGAAAAAAGCCTGTTACAATATCCTGGAGCCTAAAGTGACTTTACTACATGTCTGGTTTTGTCCACAGCAAACCTGGAAAGATCACATTTTTGCATTTTTGCTAAAAAAAAAAGTGACTGATTTTCAAAGTAGTTCCAGATTCATTTTCTCTCAATTGAATAATCCATCATTTGTCTGAATGTTGCAACTCTAACTTAAATCAAAAATACTATCACTTACAAATAATTTTTCCAAGTCAGAAACATTCAACAAGGTAAAACAAAGCATTCCTTGACATCCCATTACGCTCAAGGGTCAAAGATTAATGTTTGATTTGCTCTAGCAACCCCCACCCTTTGGATCCGTTATCCATAGATTTAAAATCCTGTTCAACCAATTATCCAGTGACAATTAGACACCTAGTCTGGTTTGATTATATGTGTGTTTGCCCAGTGTTTTTCCATTTTGACTCTGATGAAGATACAGTTTATTGAAGAGGAATACTTCACCTATAAAATAACCATTTCTAAATAATGTCATGCTGTGTTTAACATGTTTAGCAAGTACAAAACTATATCAAAACATCAGTTTACAAACTCTTGCAGTATAATCTAAGTCTCATTTATCCAGTCTTTTGCTCAGTACCTCCCGAACACATGCATTTTCGCTAAAATCTTACAATCTAAACCTGACCTGACAGTGAAACTTTTCTAGTGAGCATACGACTGGATAATTGAGACTTGCATTACACTGCACAGGTTGTTGGTAGTTTTGCTGTTGTTAAATGTGGTCCCCAATCAATCAATGAATCAATATGTTTGCTATTTTCCATGGAGGCAAATTTTCTTCACAATTATAAAGGTAACATGGCATGACTGACTGATATATAAATGGTCATTTTGTGGATGAAGTATTCCTGTAAAGGCAAACAGTGAGCTCAGGTCCCTTCTTTGTATCTCTGTCATGTAACTCCAAACAGAACCCCTAGAGGACACTACTGCACAAAATATGGATTCAGGCTTTTGCTTGAGCACATGAGCATCAATGTTGGTGTCAGGGATTGTAATTCCCAGCACCGACCAACAGCATCTCAACAACTGTATCCTGGTTGGCTTACTGGCTTCTCTCCTGTCCCTCTCCTCTCCGACTCCTCTGTCCCCTCGGTCTCCAGCGCCCATGCCTCCTCCCTCCCTCTCTCTCTCCTTCTCCCCTTGCCGTCGTGAGCAGGTGCGTTTGCGGCGGCGCAGGGCTGGTGGGGTCTTGGCAGCGTCTGCGCCCACTGCTTCGCCGGTGGTTACCACGGATACCTCAGTCTGCAGCAGCGTCTCCAGCTTGCACACCTCACTCTCTGCATGGGGGAAAGTAAATAGATGGAGGAATCAAAATACAAAAAGTGAGGTGAAAGGGCAACAACTGGCTCTACCTCCGATCTGTCACAACAGGTCCTAAACACAGACTGTCAGAACAAACACATTCTTGTTTTTTTTATTCTTGGACCAGCCACTGCATTGTTGTAGTAATATTTTAGATAAATGTAAGTATGTGTGGGTTGTGACCAAAGTTCCTGCATGACAATGTGAGAACAATAAACATGTTTTTAAAAAATCTGTTCAAATATGCTTAAAAAGTATTTTAATATTTTTCCGATTGGCTTCCAAGCTCCAAAATCCTGCTCATAGATAGGTACTTTTCTTAAACTCAGTAATTGAAAGTAATGACATCTTTCTGATGTCAAACTCTGCACATACATCTTTTAGCACAATAAAGTTAGATTCAAACAATGTGCAGGACATGTTCTTAAATGTATGAGGAATGTAAATACCATCAAGCTATTGAAAAAACAATTTTGGTACTGATACCATAAATCAGGTAACGTTCTGACAACTATTACTAGTTTTACAAGCCCTTGAAATGTCAAAATAGAACTAGTTTATCTGTCAAATTTACATAAACTGTCAACCACATGAGCAGACTCTCATCATCATGTTGAAAGAGAAAGTTGGAGTGTCTCTTAATTATTATTACATGATACATGATACTTGTGAACATATTCATGCTACAACAAACAAAAACTGGACAATAGATAGAGCTTCTATGTTTTGTGGTTTGCAACATGAAACGCTTTTTTTGTTAAGTGTGTCCTGCTTACGCAGTTTCACTTTCCGTTTGCTCAGTTATTTACAAAAGGGAAATAAACCTTAACAGGTCAGTTTGGTTTCCACAAGCTGTGTGTATACAGGGGTAAGCTGGAAGAGGCAGACCATGTGACTTACCCATGTGTCTGTAGTACTCCTCAATGCCACTCCAGGTGTTCTTTTCAATCAGTGCTTTCACCAGGCTCCACGGCTGCTTCCTGTAGCAGATGTCCGAGGAAACCCTGCGCAGAGGAAAAACAAATATATAGATAATCTAATGTGTCTACAAAGAAAAACCTCACGCATTTCTCATACAGGATGAATCAACCAGCTCTATATTACTCTAACATTTAATTAGTGCTGTTCTCAGTAATAATGATATCATACATTTCCCAAGAATTTCAACCAGTGCCTGACAACAAGCAGGAACTTGTGCAGTTCCTGCAATTTGCAGAATGTTCCTTTGAAATGTATGAATTCAACTAACTAAGTTTTTACATGAGCACTACAGCAAACTAATTGGCTAAGATGTCATGTTTCCATTTTCTGAAAGAAGCCATCACACACACAAAAAAGCACAACATGCAGCCCACCAAAATTTGGAAAATGATGGACGTGTGTGGAGTGCTTGACCTATTTTAACAGTTTTGCCGGATTATACCACTGGAGTTATTGAACGCTAAAGCCTGATTCAACATTTCTGATGAGTGTCACTCAACAGAAATTATGTATTTGACAGAAAAAAGTGTTGTCCGCACTTCTCTTTCATGTTGTGTACATCATATTTTGTCACACAATGTAATTGGCAGCATTACTATCACCGCCATGGAGATAGCAGTGTTAAATCTACATCAGCTCTGACCTGCATTCAGCGACTGTGTCCACAACAGCAGCCGCTTTTCAGCAGCAGCTGAGAGGACAGTAGCCAGAGCAGCAGCTGAGAGGACAGTAGCCAGAGCAGCAGCTGAGAGGACAGTAGCCAGCTGATCTGCCGTCACCACGCTGACTGACCGCAGACATTTACTTAAGAATATTTTTCATGTCAGCGCCATGGTAGGAAATCAGCAGTGCTCGTTTTTATTCATTCACTGATTTTATTTCCCAGCTCACAGCAGCAAAAGAGGGGAACCTGCTGCTCACAGACAGACTGGGAGCTGATCAATCAATGTAAGGTACAGTTAACAAGTTAAAACACACATATACAGTGGGATATCTGTGTGATTTAAACAGATGTTTGTGCAGATTACACTTCATTAAATGCAACAGAAACAGACCAAACAAACTTGTATAAGCAAGTTACCTACTTTTCATTTCAAAATATTATAGATCTACATGCCATGATGATGTCATTCTTCATATTGCCTGTGTCTATCAAATGTTTTTAAGCTCAATAAACACAGATGATATTTGACTGGAATCTCTCCCATTTGAGACATTTAAATGTGTCAGGACACTTTTTCTAATATAAACTGTGGCTTTGCCTTTGACGTCTGCAGAGGTGAGAAAAAAGCAGTCAAGCAAAAAGTGACCTGTAATACAAAGGTAGGCGTGTCGTGTTAGGGCTGACTTTTTTTTTTTTTTTAAGTTATCAGGAAAGCAACAAGGGACACTTGGCGAAACAAGGAAAAGCTCTGATGGGCTTAACTCATATGAGAGTTTCTGGTCCCCAGGCTTAGTAGCTTAACGACTCAGCTACAGTTTGCATCATCTATTTTGCAGCAGACTGAGAGCGTGTGTAAACAAGGATTCTATGGATTAAATGTAAAGAGGTGATGAAACATGACGCCTTCCATCACCACTGTTTGCTGTTCTTTTAATGCTCTTGGATTTGCATATATTTGGCACTCAGCCTGTTTACTTCACATCCCACTGATGCTACTGGCTTTTTAATATGTGGTGCTGCTGTTAGTTGAAGCTCCATTTTTTGCCTTTTTAGTTGTGGATGGGACCTGTTGTCGACTGTAGTATCAAAAAAGAAATTAACTTTGCAACTTTGGGTCAAAGTGAATATTTTTCATCATGAAACCCACAGAGAAAGAACAAGATTTGTGCCGACAGTTGTTTTAGTCTAGCATACATATGCAAAGCACTACAGCTGTAAAAACAAAATAATGTCCAATTATTCCTTCTAAAAAACAAAAAAAAAACAAAAAACAAACATAGGTTTGAACCACCCAAATATCTATTTTGTGCATTTTATTTTAGAGTAGAGACTAATATAACGAGACAAAACTACTACGTATATTAATTTTCAACATAAACATGTCTTGTAAAATATGTGCATGTGTTGCATTTGTAAATAGTCATCCCCAGCACTGGAGCACACTTTGGTACAAACTGGACAGTTTGTTAATTCGGAGCACTGTTACAATATACCAGTTAATCAGAGCACCACACTCTTGGAGTGGCAGACTGTACTCTGGGCACTCTGTCGGAGCGCTACCCATTTTAAGTTAAGCATTTGTTAATTCATATAGAAATAGAATGCTTTATTTCTTCAAAAAACAGCACTCATATTTTAGTTTAAACCTTCAGATTGGATTTACGAATGCACCCAAAATACACAAATAAGATGTCCTTTACTGTACAACTTAGTTTAAAGACCGTAGACCTCTCTTGCTGCACCGTGGGTGATGCTATATTGAAACTGAAAATGTGCTGTCTCTCTGAGCAATATCAAATTGATGATCCGTGTTGATATGTGTCTCCTGTTGGCCTGGGCTGCTGGCAGACAGCCAGGGTAGTGCTGTTTTTTCACATCTGAATGTCTGTTTTTTTTTTTTATTAAATTTAGAATTGTCGTTGACAGCCCTACAAAGCATATCTGAAATAAATTTAACACTTCAGTCACAGGATGTGTCATGAAATCGATAAGCTCTCAAAGTAAAGCAACACATTTGACATGAGAGTGATCCTGAGTGTGACTGTCGCTCAAAGCTCTTGTTTTCACTGTGGTTTTCACAGCCAATCGGTGAGCTCAAAATGCCACCCACAATGATAACACTAATAAGACAACAACAAACTTGCCTGAGCCGACTCTTGTGCTTGTTGATGGAGGTGAGGCAGTATCTGTGGACAGTGTAGAAGTAGTCCTGGTAAGGGATGCCTGAGGTGATGACCTCAGAGTCCACCACAAAGCACTCGCCCCGGGCGCTGCTCTTATGCAACGTCTGGAAGCAGGAAGAAAAGTGGAGGAGCACAGTTAATGGTATGCAAACATTTTGGTTTCCTCTGAAACATAGCTAAACCACTGACTGACGCGTCGGCTAGTTATGGCTTCTTCCACTGATAATTAACTTCTGTGAAGACATCATTATGCTTAATCAGAACTGCTTGTTTTCTTTCCTGTACAACAGCTTCTGTAACTTTCTGACACTGACAATCAGATATTCACGGCCTCTTCAAACTATGATAAGCCAGCTGTGCGGAAGTCAGAGAGCAAGCAGGGTTTGATATCTCACCAAAGTTCTCTCTTTTCATTTTTCACATTTCTGTCACTTTTCATAGGAACAACCGAGTGTTTCCCCATGTTGAACCCCCACCCTTTCTGTGACAGCAGGCTTTTCACTTCACGTTACAGTTCGAGCTTTGATGAGCTCAAAAAAAAAACAAAAAAAACAAAACAAATCAGACCTAACATGAACCTGCACAGTTTCTGTCCAAGCCTGGCCTGAGCCCAACCATGGCAGGAGTTCTGTCTGTTGTCGGCTATGCTTCTCAGGGCCAACAGGTTTGGCAAAACAGGCTGCGCTGTCTTCAAGTGTGCACAGTGGTCCATAGCCTGAACCTAACAGGTCGGTTCAGGTCACAGTTGGGCTCAGGCAGAGAATCAAAGTTTGATTTCCGATGTGGTCCGATTAAACATCATGTGAACCATACGTTTTCCAGCATAACCCGGCTTCTAACCTCTGTATGTTACTGAAGTTTTCTCTTTTGTTTTCAGTGTAAATACTTTATTGTTTCAGGGAAAAGGTCAAAGGCTGGCTGGGGTAGTTGGTGTTACTGGTGTTACTCTGTGTTCAGACATTCATCGATTTCATTACCTACCCTACGTGGTTTTGCTTTTGTAATCAATAATTAGTACAGCAGTAGTATAGCTCCACAATATGAGTGCTAAAAACGAGGTGATTAATAAATTCTGAAAACTAAGATGAATCTAAGTCTGAATGAAATAGTGTTACGTAAGCTTTATAAATAATTTAAATTAACTTCTACTTGATAAAATATAACTATCTTGTAGCTGAAGGACATATGAAGGTATAGCATTAATTGTGTGGTAGCAATTATTTGGTCAGAGCAGATGTAACATTATTTCCACACTGTAGATATTTTATTTTTTAAATGAAATGCTTCATTTGTTTTCGTGAATGTGTAAAAATAAATTGTTTTTGTTACAATAGATCATCACCTCAAGTCCTGACATCTGCACTGGAACCCTAACTAGGCCCAAAATAAAATCAGAAAAAGATCCCAAAGACACAACTACATACAACGACAGGGAAAGTCTCACTCCAGTTGCAGCTAAATAAGCACAGTGTTTCTGTCTTGGTAATTTGCCTCCAGCAAAGTCTGTGTGCCAAAGGGCTAAATAATGAAATAATAAAAGGTCGGTGTTTGTCAAGGACTGACCTGCGTCTCCACCACAGGGGCGGTCTTAGGGCCGAGTGGGTTGTTGAGCGCGATGGTGTAGCTAAGCACACGGCTAGTATTCCCACTGCTGCTGTCCTGCTGCCATTCACCCACCGATAGGTCTAAAAGAGAGACAGAGAGAGAAAAGAGATGAGCAAATTAGCAAGTGCAAGAAATAAAAAGTCCCAAGAGAAAATAATGGAGTGAAAGGACATAGAGAATTTATAACTGAAAAGGAGAGACCAAGAGATCCAGAGGAGTTGAATGGGGAAAGAGAAAAAACAGGGGACTCACTCCATGCTCCTTCATGAAAAAAAGAAAGAAAGAAATGCCCCAATTAGAGCTAAACAATGTTCCCGAGCGGGCTGGGCTTCCAACTGTGGTAGCCACTGGCCAAAGCAGCTCCACCGCTTCACCTCTGTCCTCATTTAAACTACTACTGAAAAAAAGTCAAAAATAAACCTTGCATTTATGCAAATATGACCTTTATTATCAGTCTATCAAATAAAAAATGGCTATACAGTAACAAGACAGTGTATGAAAAAAAGTGTCACAAAGGAGAAGAACCCGTGATAGCGGGTGGTTAACACAGCGTAAACAGCTAGCTCGGCACCCTCATTAGTGGCACAATAGTGTGCTACAGCATGTCTTTGAGGGGCGGGTGTGGGTACTTCACTATATTGGTATTTATCAGCTGGAACGAGTAGCACAGCTGCCTCACAAGGGGAACACAGTTACTTTCACAGAGCAATAACACCACAGACAAAGAACACACATTTAAAGACTACATGAAGAGATGTTTGCAACCGGTGTGTTTTCTTATTCTAGCAGATAACTGACAGTGTAGTGAAAGCACGGGCAGATACTGGCAGTGCATCAAATGTCATAGTATCAACATCAACAGCAAACATCAGGTTCTACTGACAGAGACATGAATTAAAGTGTCTTTTACACCGCAGCAGCCTCAATAGTCCAGTGAGCAGCAGAAGAACAACAAACACTGGGCCCTAACTGTCACTGTGTCAACAGGAAAAACCCGCTCTCTTGCACTTCATGTTATGAAACAAGTTAACGCAAGTTCTGTGCTGGTTGCTGACATGTATTCTGGGCAATGTAGGAAAATCACATAATTATCAAAGCTGAGCACAGTTTCACAGCTTGAGAAAGAGCTCAAGGAGATTTCTCAAATGTCAATGACCCAATAGAAACCAACCATGCCTTAACATTTCATCAATAAAAATCAATGGGAGTTGACTAACTCTCAAAAAAACTGTGTATAGGCTGATATTAAGTTTTGAGCATCATAATTGTGTGTTTAGCAGTGCTGCATAACTATAGCAGAAATCATAATCACGATTATTTTGGTCAATATTGAGATCACAGTTACTGAACACGATCATCATACATTTATTGAACTTTCTAAAAAAAATGTTTTAACAGTGGATTTTCTTAAACTTTAAATATAATTAAAATGAAATACTACCGCCTTGCAGTTGTACGCCTCTGCTAGCAGTTTACGTCCATGTCTGTCCAGACTCGTATGTAGCCGTGACGGCAAGACAACACTTCAAATATGAATGTTGTCCCAAGCCACAAGTCCTAAAACACACATCTACAACCTGGCAGCACAGAAGATCTATACAATCAGCACAATATCAAGGTGATCAATACCAATTCAGTATCTGACCAAATGTCTCCCCTGCTGTTCCTGACTTTTGGCGTCCAAGTAGAAGTTTATGCCAAATTTGAGATTTCTCCTTAACAGAGATGGAATGAAGGGGCGGACAACCTAAAAATATAACTTTGTGAAAATAAGTAACTACGAGGGTCTGAAAAGTCACTAAATCTCGTGAGAAATTCATCAAGTTGGAAACACTGAGCACAGCACTGTAAAGGAAAGGGGTTGGCTGGATTTATTACACGAGATAAAACAAAAGCATCGTTCAAAACACAATGCAGCACAATAATCATTTTATTCATCTCCCCAAATATTGGAAATGGAAATCTTTATTAAAAGTAATATTTGACCAATCGGCCAGCCCTGGTGTGTAGGTGTGTGTTTTCCCTACCAGTAAAGTGTCGCTGGGAGAAGAGGTGCTGGATGAAGTGTGTGTCAGCAGAGAAGAGCAGGTCGTGCAGCTTGTCTACACTCATGCGGACCGCAGTGTTGATGTGCAGCCGCCCGCTCAGGTCAGCGCAGAACGACTCCACCTCACCTGAAAGTCAAGAGGAAAACACAAATGACTCACTTTTCCTTAGATCTTATTTTGACTCAATATTTTTAGCTGTGGTTACACATTCGTCCCTACTTTGATCCGAGTTATAAATCTTGTGAAGGCATCTTTAGGTCATTTAAAACTTTTATGCAAACTTCCCATCAGCTGTGTATGTTTTAGAATGTATTATAATGATCACACTTACTCTTGGTATGACAGTGACTTTATTGCCAAATGAATTCAAGGGAAGCACAGATTGCTGCTGTATGTCTCTGCTTACTCCTGAATGGGTGAAGGTCTACTGAGCAGTTTCTGGTTTACACATTCTGCTATTAAATATGCTATGCGCTAAATTTTAGAACCTTCAAACAATCAAATCATAAACTTGTCAGCTTGGAGGCAATTTCGGGTAAATCATTTGACAATCTGCCAAAACAACATGCAACACATTTGATGTACTTCAGGACAGATTCAACCACGGAGCAGTAAATCACTCCATGTTAATGTTTCAACAACCTTCCCTGCAATCACTGTGAAAGGAAGAAGAGGTGGAAGCGATGAAGCAGAGAGAAATGTATCATTGACAAAGATCAGGGGAAGGGAAAATAATAAAACTATGATAGTTTACAACCAGATTAAAACTAATAACCTTAAATAAGCCAAGTAAATAAAGAGGACACGACAACTATAGAGAAGAGAGTTGAAAAATTTGTGTAACAGCGTAAAATCTCATGAGAGTTTACAAGTCCTTGAGATAGATCTAACTTTGGCTTCAAGTTCAGAACTGAATGTTGTGTATCCTCTGATTTTTATTCACTTAATTAACGAAGTACATTAAAAATCAATACATGTACTTTTTAAAGTTACTATTAAAGTGCATGTACTCAGTTCTAATCTTCATATAATTTACTCCTTCTCATCTCTATTGGGTTCTTGTAGTGGTTTGTTCACCAAGACAACACTCACTCTCTTCCTGCGTGTCAGAGGAGTTGCTGGGGTCTGTGGGCAGTTCCTCATCGTTGGTAATGTCCAATGAGGAGAGGTTTCCCAGACTGGTGGTTGGCGGGGGCAGCATGTGATTGGCTGACTCGGACAGGCTGTCTCCACCCTCTTCCAGATACTGATGCAGTGAGGGGGAAAAAACGCACACCAGAGGATAGTTAGCAAGAGGTTTGTAGAGAAATCACCCCATTGTCATATGACTTGAGAGGAAAGAGGCCTCAGCTGAGCTGACCTCGTGTTGACGCAGCCTGAGCAGACACTGCAGCCGTGCAATTAATCTGAGATTCGGCACACAGTCAGCAGAGCGCTCCATTTATTCACTTTAGCTTTGCTTGGGCTTGATCTGTACATATCAAGATAAGGACTGTGGCGGAAACAACCACAGCAGCTGTTTTGAGCAGAATTGATCGTACACAGAACCAAATGGAGCAACTACACAGTATTCCACATCCTAACTTGAACACATCCTGTATTTCTTGTCTAGTATTTTTATCCTATTGTATTTTGTTTTGAAGTGACTGTATTTGTCTTTTTATGTTGATCTAATGCATTAATTTAGCATTTTCTAAGCATTGTTACATTGTTTGAAAGGGTGCTACGCAAACAAGCCTGCCATGTACTTAATTATTAATTTTTGTAATCAAGCATCTGTTTTTACTTAGAGCAGTAATCTGAATCCAATTAATAAACAAACTTTCACAGGTACAGACAAGGCCAGAAATTAATCAAGGTTTTTCTAGGGCTGTTGCGGTGAAGGAATCTCCTCTGCAGTGAAAAAGAGCTGCTCAACAGCGCAATTTGTATTATTACCGCCATTGTTTGTTATTTTTGCAAATCAGTTCATTTATCCTGATTTAAGTGCTTTGTAAATAAGCTTCATTGTTAGGCTGTAATTGGATATTTTAGGGCTATAAGAGGCGCAGCATTTTTTAAGCTGAGATGCTTAGGTTGCATCTGGTTGCTATTATACAGGAGATCCGTAGAAGTAAAACCGTTTGTACAAGGCAACGAATTTGCTCTGGATGAAGGGAAGTATAAAGCATGTAGGGAAAGAGGACAGACTGGCCAGTCTGTCTAAGTTCAGTATTCATTTCTTTTCCACTGTTGTTGTTCAGCAATGTGACGGCTGGCCTATGCGGTGGGCTACTCGTCCTCCCCTTCCTCAACTGTGATTAGACGGCTGAGTAAAAATGACAGATGAGTGGTAGCAGCGCTTTACCAAATGGTTTAATATTTTTCAACTTTCAGCGACCAGAAAAAAAAAGAAAGGGCAACCTTGCAGAGCTCAGCGCAGAGTAGACATTCAGCGCCTCATCATGCTGCTGGAATTTGTAGCATAGTTTAGTTATGTGGTGCTCCCATGCTAAAAAAAAACCAAAAAAAAAACCCACAAACATAGCGGTAGTTGCAATTGCTTGCCATAACCTCCGGTTGGCTTATCAATAGCACAGTATTGCACCATTGCCGTTATTACAACAGCCCACTTTACTAAAAACCTAATGGTTAAAATGAAACTACTAAGTACTACTGATGCCAGCCTGCACTTGATATAACATATCAAGCAAGTGTACAAATCTTACGTGTTAATCAAATACAACACAGCTTACAGCTGGCTAGATGCCATTATTTACTTGCTAACACACTGGCTTTACACAAACATAGAATCCAACAGATACATCAGTGAAGCAGTGATTACACTGCTTAGAAATATGATATGACAAATTCATTATAACATGCACACAAACATTACTTTCAGTCATAAAGTAAAAACAAAGACATCATCTACATTAGCTGTCATGAGTCACAACAGTCCCATTAAGTGTTACTTAAGTAGTTCAACTTTATGACTCTCTAGATGGCCAGCTGACTCTGGCTTTATAGTAGTGTATCTAGCAGTCACATCTACAGGAGGTGACGAGGTGTTATCTCTAGTTATGAGAGGTGAAGCCATGGCAGTTAAATGGAGCAGTGTGTTGGGTTTTACATTACTCAGCCCATCCCTGCCATGCAGCTAATGCTAACTAGCCAGCTGTCCAAACATCAGGCTGGTGTCTTGAAACACCAATAGCAGGAGCAGATGAATTAGTGAGCGGACTTCTCTGCTGTGTCTGTGCTGAATCTGATTATTAAAGTGGAGGTCTCTACTGAATTGAAGCATGTGGTACTGACAGTCCACAGCTGTATGGGATAATTATTAGTTTTTTAAAATGCATAACAATCTCAGCCTTGCATGAGGTGCAAGTCTGTCATTACTCTCGCCCAGCTGTCTTGCACATGAAGTAATAAAAAACTAGGACATCTTGTGAGATCAAACTATGCATAACGCCACACTGAAGACCAGCTTTTGCAATGTTGCACGCTTAAGCACATGTGGATGTCAAGAAAAACACTCACAAAGGAGGCAGCAGCAGAGGCCGGGGCAGAGGCAGAGGCGTTGGTGGGAGTGGTGGATGGCATCGAGCTGTGGGACGTGGGCGGGCTGGGTTCGAGGGGCTCAGAGCTGGGTCTGCGTCCAGATGACGAAGGCACCTCTATGGGCAGACAGGAGGCGGAGAAAGGGGGAGAGGAGCCCCCCAGGTTGGTAGCTGAGGGAGGGCTGGCTGAACCGCAGGGCACCAGGGGAGGAGGAGAGCTGCCCGTAGAGGGAACTGACACTGAGCTTAGGTCTAGTAGATCTGTAACTGACACTGACTCATCTCCTGGCCTAGGGAACAGAGGGAGAGGAAGTGAGAGAGCGTGAGACAGAGATACATACAGAGAAAGCGTTAAAGAACTAAGAGACAAGGTTGGGGAATATCTAACTAACCAGGCATATAATGCAATTGTTATGCTAGTTTATATCAGACAGGACTTGGACAGTCTTAGAAAAAAGAAAAACACACACACACACACACACACACACACACACAAACAACCTGTCTTCTGATAAGCGAGGATCTGCTTGTTTGCTTAAAGAAAGAGCTAACTAACCTTTCATGCTACATGTATGTCAGTTGGGCTGGAGGTGTTTGCACATACAGTACATGAAACCTGAGATTCAGATGAAGATTGTTTTCTTGACTACTTTTTCTGTTTTAGCAAATAAAAACACAATAAAATAAGTTTTGGCCTCTCTGTCTCGTCCCTTCTGGAACAGTGGTACAGTATTTATTTACATAACTAACACTTCAATGTCAAAAATGTTACCCACCATGTTTGTGACAAGTTGCATAGAATGAAATTGCCAACGACACAATACCCTCACACAAATTACTTACTCTTTCACTTTGTTCAGTGTGTTAACATGTCTGCATACATATATAAACAATACAAGTAAACAAATTACATGCACTGCGCCACACATTGGCATGTATTTACATATGAATACTTACAGTAGGCCGTTCATGTGTTCGGCGGTGGGGGAGACATAGTCGTCATCTTCACTAGTGAGGCCCAGCTCAGTGCCGTAACACTGGTGTACGATGTGCCAGAGCTCTTTAGGGGATAGAGACTGAAAAAAAAGGATCGAATTAAAATGGCAGACATCAAACCACTCAGTATACAGCCACTTTATTACCAGCATAACACTGAATAAATTCATGAGGGTCACACTTCAGATTTATCTTTTAGAACCAACAACATTTAAATACACAAGCAACATATTTTTGGTCTTCACTTTAATTTTTGGTCAAATTTGTGCTTTAAAAAGACTATGCTGAATTTTGCTGACCTCTGTGATGACAAATGACAAATTGAATCCATCATATCAGCAAATTAGTATTAAAGTTAGCAACTCTGATTCCAATCACAATATAGAGTTCCTTGTTTATTTCTGGCAGTATTTCATTTGATAGCCTTTTGCAGGCTAAACATTAAGACACCAGGCGCAAAGCAGCACGCAGTGCAACTGTCATTGCTGGTTTCAGACTGAAGCTGTTGTCATTTTCTCAGCAAGCGCCCATGTTGTGTAAGTAGCAATGTACTTGCACCCATTGGCTTGTAGATGTTAAAATGAGATGTGGTAAGGCACATTGTTGGCTCAATTCTATTCTGAGGCAACAGAAAAAGATTGCACCATTGTCCAACAAAAACCTGGTCTAAAGTTAATGGGGCAATATTTTTTGCTATTTAAAGGGCACATCACTCAGATTGTAACATGTGCCTACATAGGCCAGTTAACAACGTACATACACTCTGCTTGTTACACACACTGTATGGTGTTTCCAGTACGCAGCAAGCTTTTGTTTTGCCCATCTCCTGACATCACTATACAGTTTTCAGCCTTGTGCAGCAATTCTAGTGATGCCAGATGATGAGGACACGGCCACTGCTACCTCCTCCCATGCCTGCTCCATCTCAGGGAGCTTGGTGGATTAATGCCGCTCCTGTAGATAGTCTGTGCCGCACTTTTACTTTGCGCACAAGCAGATCCGGTTTCTTCAGCAGAAACTTGCTTGCCTCTCCTACTTGCAGAATCCCCCATTTAAACAGCAATGCACCAGGTGTGGGTGCACCTGGCTTTTAAAGGGAATGGGAGATAACTCTCAGATTGGCTGAGCTCATGTTACGCCCAAAACACACCTATGATTAATTAATTGACTAAATACAACCCCTTTGCCCCTTGTGCCTTACTTTGTGCCCAGATTATATGCCATTTAACTAGCAAAAGTAGGGTTTTCCATGCCCTTAATGCACTTGCACCATGCACTTTAGACCATGTGCTGTATATTATTTAAACAAAGCCCTATGTCAATATGTTTCACCTAGCTGTGTGTTACCATGTGCTTCACTGTGTTACTGCGCCAGTGCTGTTCAAATAAATGTCTCTTTTCAAACGCAGCAAATAACAGTGATTTATACTGTTCTCCCAAGCCTGTGTTTGTGGCCATCTCCTGCTTCTTGACACTCTGGTCTATTATAAGACGTTAACTACTAGTCATGTCACACTAGGCAGAAGGGTGGGAGAGGAGCTTGTACCTTGTCCAGCAGTGCGTTCTGCCACAGACGGAAAATCATCATGAAGCTGCGATCCCTTGCGCCAAAAGATGTGAAGAAGTGCTGAGAGGGAGAATATCAGCAGACAGGAAGAAAAGGGGGGAAAGGAAGGAAGAAAGAAGGGAGAAAGAAGACAAATGTTATAGACTTTTTTTGGTTGGGATGTTTGCTTTGCCACAGTCAGTGGAGATAAAGTTGAGTCAGCTCATTTCATACTGCTTCACTAGCAAAAAAAAAGATCATTTGAAGCAAACAGCATCAACAGCTTTTCATGTTTCTCTATTGGCATTTAACTTAAACTGTAAGGAAAAGAGAATGTTTCAATACACTACAGATTTAAACATCTATTAAAAAACAACACTATTTGATAATTGGCCCAAACTATAATATTGTTTGTGCCTGAGTCTGACCTTCTCGTTGTCAGTGCTGATCTGGATGGCATTTGGGATGAGCTTGGCAGTCTTCTCCTTGGTCATAGAGGTTACGTCTTTCAGCAGGATAGTGATCTATACAGAGGGGAGAGATTTACTGTGTGCATGCTTCAGTGTGTATTTCTGTGTGCGATACTCTTATCTCACCGAGGGCCAGAGCATATCTATATTGATCTGCAAACAAGTACATTAAAAGGGCTTCTTATCTGATTGCAGGTGTGACACTGCCCAGGTTACAACAGGCATTTGTTTGATTGTGTGCATGCGAATGTGTACACAGTGCGTGCATGACTTACAGTGGTTTCCCAGCGGAAGATGTTACTGTAGAAACAGAGCCAATTCTCTGACAGATAAAGGCGGCCCTGTAGCAGTATGTCCTTCTGCAGCGCACAAGAGTAGTCTGAGGAAAGGAACAGGAAAATAAAAAGGTCAATTAAAAAAAAAAAGTGACACTGGCTTGTATCAAAAATCATTTCAACAAATCAAAAGGTTGATTGTTTTATTTTAATCTTCTTGAGCGTGTGGCATGGGGCTGTACCTGACTTGGAATTATGTCAGTTGAATCAGACTTGGCTGATTATTCAACTATTGTTCCTATTTTTCCATATATAGTTTGAGAGTTTGAAAAGAGACCAGTTCTCCTCTTCCAGGCAGCTGTATCCGCAGCTGCCTGTACTGAAGAGTGAGGAGCCTCATTCTGCAGATAAGTCTGGAGACCAATACCTCCCCACAAGTACACCGCACACTGACTGAGGGGTGTCCAACTGATTATTCGAATCTATGACCATAAAGGGACAGCCCTTGTATGGTGTCACATGAGTCTAGCACACAGAGAGTATGTCCTTGATACAGATGTGTCTCACTCACCCACTATAAGTCGCTCCGTGTCAGGAAGTTTCTTGAAGAGTTTACGAAAATCCTCGTTCCGCTGTTTGTATGTAGGACTGAGAACCTGGGGGTGAGGACAGGAGAGAGAAAGGAGAACATTGTATTTCACTTTAAATAGGGCTGGGCAATATACTAATATTGTATCGATATGCTGATGTGAAACTGGGATTGGGTACCATTCACATTTGAACTGGTTCTGGTACCTGTAATTTGGTACCAGTGCCCAACAGTGTTTTTTCTGTGATTTACTTTCTCTGTAGTAACAAAAATGTCATTTTTGAAAAAGCTTGAAGGGTAACGTAATAGACTGAAAAGCAATTCGGCTCCTCTGCTCTTTTCTAATCACAAATAGAGCTAATCTTCTGTCTGTCTATCTGTGTGTGTGTGTGTTCGTGTGACTGCTCCTCTAGAAGTGATACTAGGCTATTACTAAAATAATTTAGACCAGACGCTGAAACTATCATGGCAGATCGGCACTGCGGCAATAGTTTGGTACGCTGAGAAGCCAACGGAGCGGCCGCGGAGCTTCGTAGCCAGTTTCCTAGTTTTAGAGAGCTTCGGCCTCCATTCTCAAGTTGAACCTGCTGTCTCTGCTGAACTCCGTTGCCAACCTCAGAGCTCCGTGGCTGGCTTCCAGGCTTCAAGGGCACTTCTGCCTCTTGTCTAAACCTAGCGATCTCACCCAGATGCGTTCTCAGGCACCAAAATTTGGCACAGATGGATTCAATGTCAATCGGTACTAAGTGGTACTGATTTGGTACTGACCAAATCAGTACCACTTAGTACTGATTTGGTACTGATTTGGTACTGATTTGGTACTGACCAAATCAGTACCACTTAGTACTGACCAAATCAGTACTAAGTGGTACTGATTTGGTCAGTACCCTTAAAGTAGTGAGTTTGGTGCCAAACCCCATATGACACTAGATACTGATACTGATACTTTTCCTGATATTTAAGGTTGCATTGCAGTAAACTGATGTCATTTTCTGAACTTATCAGACTGTTTTAGCTGTTTAATTATTTACCTTTATCAACTTAGTCACTGTATCCACATTACCGATTTTATTTATAAAAATTATCTCATGGTATAAATATTCTATGAAAGCGCCAATAGTCAACCCCACAATGTCAATATCAAGGTATTTGGTCATAAATATTGGGATTTTTCATTTTTTCCACATGACCAAGCCCTAAATGCACAGCAGCTGACATATGTTGGTTAAATGTCTAAAGAATAAACAGTGTCTTTCAAATTCAAGCATTTTACTACATCAACTAGTGCTGCTTACCTGAATCTAAAAACAGATAAACACCCTAGAAACAAAAGAAACACACCCTAGAGTGAAAATGCCTAATTAAGGGGTGTTAGTGTATACTCACATTATACCAGCTCTGCATTTTCTGAAAAGAAAAGAACGGCATCTTTAGTTGTGAACAGAACTCACACTTCTCTGTAACAATAGAAAGATTACAGTACAGACTGTAAAATCTGTATCTGTAAAATCTTTCCACACACATTTGGTTAAGTAACCCACTGAGATATCTGTATGCATGTGATCCTGGCAGTCTAGTCCCCAGACTATGCTTGTTTTATGTAACCTTGAGGTTTTTCAGTTTTCAGCACTTCTCAGTTTTAAAAAAGGTACATGTCACTGGCTGGCTGTAATGAACAGTCATTAGTATAACAACAAGCTGTTCTTTTCTCAACAATAAGCCTGAAATAAAAGAGATGTGAAAGCTTAAACAAAACCCTCAGGCACACAGAACTACAGACACAATGCAGGTAAATTTACAGAGAGCAAACATTTTACAGTCCACTGTCAGAAAGAGTAAACATTCTAACAACTCACATGGCTAAAATGGAAGGCAATGCAAATACAAAATAAACATTTACATTCACTCAACGTATCTGGTGTGGATGACAATTTACTGCGACTTCCCTCCACTCAAAAACAGTGTTTTTTATTATAAACTTCTTTCAAAAGTCCAACTGAAAATGCAGCAGCAAGTTCAGATTTGATGGTAAACTGTGCCAGAATGGTGCCTCCATGTGCAACTGTCTGTTAGCTTGATATTTAATACTGTTTTATATTTAAATCTCAAAAGTCATCATGAAAATGACATGAGTCTCTGATGATGACGCAATGCAAGAGCTCAGCACTCATCTGTAACTCATCACTTTGATCAGCAGGTATTCTGAGTTACCTTGGCATTGCGGCTGAAGTGGCGAGAAGCAAGTGGGTAGGCAGATGTGAGGGAGGAGGCAGAGGGTATGGAGGGCAGGGGGCTATCTGAACCTCCTCCTCCACCACTGCTCTTCTCTCCTCCTCCGTCATTCTCACTGGCCCTGCCACCCCCAAGGACCCTGCGCCGCAGGGAGGGAGAGCTGCCCGGGGTGCTGCGTGGAGAGTTACTGGCCGTACTGGAGACAAAAAAAAGGACACAGAGAGAGATTTAACTCTGGGGAGAACAGAGGAAACTCTTTCATATTTCATTGCTTAATTCTGCTCTGAAATGCCTTTATTGCCATGCTGTGCAGAAAGGCTACAGGCGTTTCCTATGTGATAATAGCATGCCATCTCAATCTGCTTAATTAAGACCATGAAAAACCACGTACAGCCAGTGTTGTCCGCTAAACTGATTTTGACTGGTACAGCACCCAGACAGTGAGGGTATTTAAGGCCATTCATTAATGGGTCTTAGGACTGTCCGATCAATAAGAATTACTACAAAACACAAGATCTGCAGTTTCCTTTAGAACAAAGCACTACCAAATCTACGAGGAACTTCAGAGAGTTTACGCTGTAATTACAGATCTGACCATTTCAAGACTGAAACGCACCATTAGACACAGACACAGATAAAGGCAGTGGTCAACGATTAGTCATTTGACATAAATGTGATCGACAACAACAATGAGAACTCTACTGCTAAAAGTAAACAATTTTCAAGATAACAATTTACCTTAGACTGTCATTTTTTATATTATGCATTTTATACACTATACGCTTAGTTGACAATATAATGGTTTAGTCTCTACTGTCCTCATCAGGGTCACCCTATTGCTGCCAAAACACTTGCAATGTAGGTTCAAGCCAGTGATACTTGAAAATGTCTATATTTACGCCACAACACAGTTCCCATGGTTTCACCTCATTCCTCTGTAAGTATAACAACCGCCACATTCATCATTAGTCAGCTTAGACATTTGCTTGTCTTTCAAACACAAACAGCTATTTTTCATTCCCTTACCACGAGCAGACACCATGAATCAGAAGTAGCTCCCCAAGTGCTAGCTTCACATCAGTAACACAGTTAAGATAGCCTCCAACTTGATGAATGCTCTACTTGCACACTCAACAGTGCATCGCAGTGGCTCCTCCTGAGCTACAGCTGCTAATTTCATTAACGAAGCCAAACCAAGCACTCATCACTTCATTCACTCCCTTTGAGCCAGACTGCTCTCCACACACCAGATAACCTCTTTCCTCAAACTATCCCTACGTTAACATTGTTTTGACACACGCTGTCGTGTTTTCACCACCTCCATGATGATGATGATGATTTTTGTGCCATCTACCCACCCAGTGGTGAATCCCCAAGACAATTCAGTTCCTTACTCCTTTCGTATAGCTCTCATTTTTGTCTTTCTCAATCCCAACTGGAGTCTTAAATGGCCTGAGTGGTGTTAAGATGGTGTTTTTAAAAATCTGCTTGTGTACAGAATGTACAGAAAGACTTGAAACTGTCAGAGCTACTGCTGGCAAATTCATGTTCTTACTTTATTTTAGACATTTTGGAAACGCATACCTGAATATTGCCTTTACTTTTCTGTAGTGTGGCAGTTGTCTTGGTTTGTCTATATTGTTTGTACACAGCGTCAGACCTAAATACCAATAGTTTTGTTACAGCTCGTTTCATAGACATCCCTTGAAAATGGAAAAAAAAGATTACGAGTCAAAATGAGAGTCTTAGGCTAAATGAAAACAAAGCTGACAGATTATATTTGTGACGCAAGATTCTCTCTTACGACCTTTAATCGACTCTTGGCTCTGAAAAAATGTTCACTGCTTTTATATTCATTTGTATTAACTATAGATGTAAGAACGCATTTTGAAATAAAAACAATTAAAAAAAATATGTAAAAATAGATGCTAGGCACTGAGAGTGCACTGAGTGGTGAGAGAAATATATCAACTTACAAATAGAGATGATTAGCAATTTTCTGCCAGCATTCCTTTCTTGTCTTTTTTTCGCAAACAGAAACAGTGTTTGCAGTAATATGTTTTCTATATTCTTCATAGCTCTCCAATATAATGACCAGCTCCTCTTGACTGAAGTAGGCGACCCATGGTCGGTCCATTTTGTGTGGTAGAGGAGTCAAAAGACGCAAAATGCTCCCTTCTATCGTAACATCCATTCAATATTTACTTGGTTAAGTAAAGGAAAAAAACATTTTCTTACAAATGACATGAGTACTGCTCCAAACTTGGTTACCAGCTGTCAGAGACAGCAAATGGAGAGAAAATGGGATGAGTCAAAGTTAACACCTCCCAGGCAACAGGGCTGGGACAAGGAGCAGGAAACTGGGCGTCCATCCCTGATCCTCAGCAGGTTTGTTTTACAGGAGAATGATGCCCGAAATATTACATATCTGTTGCAGCAATGTTAGTTTGAGCAGCATAATTACAACTTCGCTATCTTGAGTTAAACGCACATAAGGGCGCTGTAAAGAGGCTTGCTGTTAGTAAGTCACCGAGTGTGACCAGGACACTGTGATGTGTATCTGTGTCAACATGTGTTTACAACCCGAGGCTAAATCCGTCAGCGGCACATCTTTTAAAAAGCTAACCGGCAGCATTGCCAGAACTTTGAACACAAACATCTAGTCAGCCATCTCTCTGGTGTACAGTGCAGCTAACCTTAACATTGTCCTTTCTCCTGTTACTCATTAAAGCTAAGTTAGCACTGATCGGCTAAAGGGGAAGCTAGCACACCAGCTACCCAAAACAAACTCAACACTTTCACTGGACACGTCAGAGACAAGACAAAGTCAAACATTAATTGTACAACACGTTTCAATGAAGACTCGCTATATATTGCAAGGATGGAGGCTGCTATGGTCAGTGGAACAGGGTGGAGGGGTGGATGGAGGGGCTCCAGTCAGACAGTGTGACCGAGGGTGCACCGAGAGGACGAACATAAACACACAGCTAGCTATCCGTTTATACAGCTAATATCAGACTGTGGCTGCACACCTGTGATTTTACATAAACTACGCCTGTCCCACCCTTGTTATCAGTGGGATTTGCAAAGCTGTGATTAACTTCACCACGCCAAATGAACGATGAGCACCACAGACAGATCACTGCACAGCATTCGCTGTCCATCACACTGGACGAGACTGTTATGTCACTTACTCGAACATGTCATGAGGCGTTCGCGATCCACCTGATATGCACAAAAACACACACACGTTGCGGCTCACTGTTGTATAAAATATGGTGTTCGTGCAGCTAAAGCGAGCCAGGCGCCACAGGGATGTATGTCCGCTCCTCTGCCTTGTTTTCTTCGCTTAGCCTCGGGGTAGAAATGCAGCCATCGTCCACCGTCCCGCGGTCGGATGTTAATTTCTCATTGTGGCTGACACCCCTGCACCTCGCAGCCAGGTACCGGACCGACCGCTGCTCCCTATGCCGTTAGCATGACCCGGTAACGGGCTGCAGTCTCTGCGTCCATCCGTAATCCCCTTTGCAATAAGGGAGAGGGTGGAGGGAGGAGGGAGGGAGGAAGAGGAGGGAGGAGGCGGCTCCATGTGCTGAGTGAGGCCTTGCTTTTTACGGTGAGGTGGTGCTGAACTGGGGGGCACCGATAAGGACGATAAGGCAGAGTCAAAACAGAGGTTTTATCTGAATTCAGAGGGACCAGTGCCTCACGGACAGGAGGTCGCAAGAACCTTTACTAACATTACTATCTTTGCAATGAATGCCCTTTTCAGCATGTGAAATCTCATGCTCTATATGCATCATCTATTTATTTACCAAACAGATGATGAAAACAAACCTCATTAACCAACTTCTCCCATTCATTTGTGGGGATCTGAAGCATTTCCAACACAGGTACTGTGTTAATTTAATTACATTGATCCTCATGAGTAAGCAGTTAATTTACAAACATTTTGATAATTGCTGATTTAAAAAAACACTATGTGAATATATGCCTTTTCTTTTTAATAACCAGAATATCTGTGGATTTTGGACTGCTGATTGGACAAAACGAGCAATCTGAAGACACATCGGCCTCTTGGAAACCAGACACTTTTGACTTATTTCTGTCATTTTGTAAATCAAACGATTATTCAAGAAAATAATCAAAAGATGAATAAATAACAGAAACAGTCATTACTGGAGGTTGAAACACCAAAGGGATGTTATTAGGTTGCTTATTATTTGGGATTAATGTCTTCATCACACTATCAGATGGAGGCCCTTAAGTGTAGCATCATATACAAACAGAACAGGCTAAATACATCGACCATGGCTGCCTGTGGTGAATCCACCTGGCCAAAGCCCAGAGCCCATGCAATCCCTTAACCCCCAATCTCTCTGTCCATCCCTCTGGATTAGAGTCCACATCATAATCCATGCTGGGCTGAGCTAGGCCGACATCTCCACCATTCAGTCTGTGTAATCTGTTTTTCTGAGGTTCACCAATGGCCCATAATAATGTCCAAGTTTCATGGGCTGGGTGGACATTGAAAAAGGTTCAAGAGAGAGACTGAACGCTGCTTAAAAAAAGTGCTGTAAAAATGTACAGGAAGTGGGTATACCAGAGATGAAGGTGCTACTCTTGTGTCCTTTCCTTCCTGACTACAGAAAATCTCTTATTTCAATTGAACAGGAGAGGGAAGAACAGTGTAAATGGACATATCCCTAGGGTGCACACTACCCATAATATAAAACAAACCAGTGAATAACACTATAAAAGCTGATTACCGAAAACAGGTTGTGGGTACAATAGGGACTGACCTAACCAGCAATATTAATTGAATTTCTGAAATCAGAACACTGTCAAAAGTGGACCAATAATCACACAGTGTATGTAAACACACCAACTGAATGCAGACTATGTGAACGAGGAAAAGTCACAAAGCTGAACTGATACGGTATGGCAGAAAGACAGAGGTCACAGTTACAATCAATCACAATCAGTCCTCAGGTCACTGTGTTGTTGATTGGGCTGTGCTAAACCTCCTTTGCAATTACAGAATAGAATAGAAAGTCTTTATTATCATTGTACAAAGAATATACAGCAAGATTGGTGCTACATCTGATCAGGTGCCGACTAGTCAATAAACAAACAAGTAAAAACAGACAACATAATCACTCATAAAATCAGAAATAAATTGTGAAAAAAAGGCTGTATGATGCTGTTGTAAAATATAGTGGATGGCACTTAATAAATGAAGGATTACTCTAACAAGTAGTAAACAGCAGTTGATAAGTAGTGGATTGCACTATCTAATAAACTGGATTGCACCTGAAGAGCAAAATTTTTTTATGTTATGATTTATCAGCCTGATGGCCCTCGGGTAAAAACTGTTTTTGAATCTATTTATTATGTCATTTTAAGTTAGATGTTGTCTCTGTGAGTGTACATGTGTACAGTATGTTCATGTATATGTATTATACAGTCATGTAGAGTTTTAATAAAAGCATCAGCTCCGGTGTTGACCTTAGAGCTGACTGGTTACCAAGCACTCTATACTCTGTATAAATATATAAAAAGCAGGAGGCATCCTCCAAGGCTGAAAAATTAAACCAATGCAGAAGTGCCACTTGAAGCTGCCCAACTTAGCAGCAGAAATAAACATGTTTACAGCTAATTTCAAGCTTCTGATAACTTTAGGGAAGATATATTTTTTATGACTCACCTATTTACATTTTATTATGACCCAAAGTTATGCATATTAAAAGGCAGGGTGGCTGGAGTGACAGGCTGTCTGTGAGGCGTTTCTACAGTCTGTGAGTCAGATCCACCCCTCGCTCATTCACAGCTTACAACTCTCGTCCAAATATGGTTGCTTCTGGCTCCAAAAGCCCAAGACGGTGACAGTTGCAATGACAAACTCAAGGCCCCAAAACGTGAGTCCAAAAACCAATGGGTGACATCACAGTAGCTACGTCCATTGTTTTAGACAATGACAAAAAGATGCAATGTTGTGTCTTCAATAACAAGTCAGTATGGCCAAGACCATCTCAACCAAGGTATCTGATAGAAAGCTGCACTGACACATTTCTACAGTCTTCATACTGTACTGCACTTCAGACTGGTCTCGGATTAGAAGCCTATCAGTCTACATACTTGTAAAGCTAAACATGTGATAAGTTGTTATTATGACAATTACACAACATGTTTACATTAAAAAAAAGTAGAACAAGATCTCTGTGTAAATGGAATTACCCTTCCAGATGTACCATAGAAAATCATGTGTGCTAGTTGTGCAAAACAAGTGAAGGCAACTTTACCTTCTCAAATGTGGTGACTGCGACACTCAAAAAGGAAATGAAAATGTATCACCACTGAACTATAGCAACACCAACACCCAAAGGCTGGGAACAATTAGTGCATTCAACAAATGAGCATCTAGAAACTGTGAGGAATTCATCAGATGCAGTTATGCCCTTATTCACCACTGTTCTGCAACCAGATATTGCAAAGCAGATCGTTTAATAGATTTAGTCCTCAAGAAAACACACCAAGATATTAACCTGAACTGTTTCACCACTAGTGTCCTCCCTTCTGGCCAAGATCAGGACAAATGTTTTGGTCAAAATATAGGAGATGTCCTCAAATAAAATGCCTCAATTGCCTACGGTAGAAACTGACAGACACAGAAGATAAAACTACTAAACACAGAGTCAGACAATTTAAGTCACCTCTAACACATCATCATTTGTTCAAGTGCCACAGCCACACAAGCTTAGCAACTTAGATGTTTTGGAGTCCCCTCTGATTACTATCACACAGACACATCTCTCTTTAATAGTGCCCACTGAACGCTCACTGCAGATGAAAACTGACATATAATTAATTTTCTGTGCAACAGTCTGTCTAATAAGCCTTGATAGCAGGCCTGGTTTGAAGGCATGATCAGGATAAACTGCAGCATACAGGCCCTGTTTAGACTTGTACACCTTTCAGACCAACAATGTTAACAGTCTGAATAGGCCAACGTTGGTCTTAAGATCTGGTCGTGCATCCAACCAGTGTTTAAGTGGGTCACACACAGCTTTACTTAAATGAAATGGTGAGAACACAAGTTTCTATACTTTTAAAATCATTATATGGTAACTATAGAACTGTCACAGATTACCACACCTATACAATACACTGCAAGATTTCACTCCATCAACCATAAATCCTCCTCTTCTCAATATCGAAAGATGCTTGAACATAATCATAACTATGAGTTGCTACATTATGTTACTATAAGGAGTCCAAATAAAGAACTGCTATAGATAACAACATGTTTTCCCCACTGACATGATGAAAGTTGAGTGTGAATATTGCCCTGACCACTTTGAATTTACTGATCGAGAGTCAGTGATGAGGCCAGTGGTTCAAAATTCATCTCCAATGCATCTTGAGTGACCTTTTCGTCATCACCCCACAACTGATTTCATCTGCAAAAAAAAAACTTTTCACTGTTAAACAAGAAAAATAAACATTTGTCATGAGGCTGCAAGGGCAGCTTAGCACCTCCTCGCCTCTGGGGAAGACGTTAGAGCCTTGTCACAGTTGTTTGAAAATTACAAATCAACTGTGCCTTAGGAGTTTGTTATGCCATACAAACATGTTTTTTGTGCCATCAAAATATGAAATTGTTCTTGTCTTTAGAGCTAAAAACACAGGATTTCATGAGCAAATATTAATTTTGGTACCAAGTATGAATAAGGTTAATAATATCTCTTATGCCTTATCTGAATTATGGTTTGCAGGAGGGCTTTTCTGAAAGAGAAGTATATGTGTTAGGATTTACCTAACACTGTTTACAACTATATCTTTCTCTTGCTTTTTAGGCTATAAACCTATGTTTTTAACTAAAGGCCACTGTAAAACCATCATTGAAGGGTCATCTGAATATTAAAGTTCATTAATATCCAGCAAAACAATATAACTGGGTCAATAAAATGATGTGTAAATGAAGAGGACAAGGGCACAGCTGTTTATATGGAGCACAAGAGAGGATCACCCTCTGCTTGCCCTCTGCAGTGGTGCCCAGACCCTCCTCTGATTGGACTCACATGACATCATCAGACGAAGAGCTTGTTCCCATTGGCTGAAGGTGATGTCATGCTTTAGAGGAAGGATAAATGGTGCATGAACCCCGCCGCTAGCTCCTTGTGACTGACCCAGCTCTATTTTTCCTCACTGCCACAACAGCGGTCTCACTTTCTTTGTTGACACTTTACATAACCTTGCTGTTTCGCTTATTTGAAGAGGTCATGTTTCTTTAAAGCTTTTGCTATTCTTTTGAAATACATATCAATATATATGTTTTCTTTTCTCATGCAGTGTAGCAAGGGAATTTCTTGTTCATCACTGAAATTCAACCATCTGAGTGTCGGCCTGCTTTTTAAGTCTGATGTCATAGAGTACCATGAATCAACTCAACTTAGTCAGGATTTTAACAGTGTAATCTGTTCTCTCTAGTTTAAGCCATTAGCTAATTAACTCCACCCTGTTCCAAAATAGTTGACCTCATGTTGCATTTGAGCAAAGTCGACTAAGAGTAACTCTGTCAGATGTAAGGCCTTTTTATTCCCCACCAACATGCACAAATGAGAGGCTACTCACTCCACTCAGTCATTGCAGCCAAATCTGGTCTCCTAAGGCCTGAATGCAAATTGGCTGAGATTTTACAGAGCTATGAGCGCAGAATACCCATGAGACAATCAAATATAGTGCTGACAGGGTGGATGCTCTGTTCTAAGCCACTGAACCTTATGTGGTGCTGCAGCTGTGAGATAAGTGAGCCCATCCCCAGTGAGAGATCTGTCAACTGAATGAATGAATACAAGAATAAAAAAAAAACAAAAAACCACACACTTTAGTTTGGGCTTCATAAGGAAGTAAGAAAAATGTTGAACACTAGTGCTTTAAATTCATTATTTCTTTCATTATATTTTCTTTTTTCTTTTCTTTAATCACTGGCTGGTTATTTGGGATAAATCCAGCACACTAACCTGCAGGTCTCCCAGTCAGAGTCTCTGCTGAGCAGGCTCCTGAGGGACCAACGGGAGCGCCGGCTGGGAGAGGGACTACGGGACCAAAAGCGAGACGGTGGCAGGAGGAGGTCCTGTGAAGGGATATCCAGACCTTGCTCTCCGGCCTCCATCTGACTGGCCACAGACGGGGAGGGCGAAGGACTCCGACATCCAATGGTCCCCCTCTCCGCAGTCTCCTCTATTACAATTTGCGGCATTTTGCCCCATTGTTGCTCAGGAGTGCAGCCTTGCTCGTCCTTGCTTTGCTTTTTAGTTCGGGTCCTGCTGCGGTGGGAACGACCGTGGCGGCTAGAGCGTGATGGTCTGGGGCTAGGTGAGCGAGACCAGGACTCTGTATCAGAAGATGGTGGCAGGATAGTCAGCGTCGGGATGGGAATGGGCTGAGCCAGAGTGATGCCTTCTAGTCCCACAGGAGAGGACATAGTCATCTTCAGAGATTTTCAGGGCTTAATTTTCTCATTCAGTCCAGCCAAGTGCACCTACAAGGGCTTGTTGCATCTTAAAGTTGAGACTGATCCATGTCGGACCAAGATGTTCTATATATTTTTATATATTTAGGAACAGGATGGGCAAACACACCAAACACCCCCTCTGAGGAAATCGACTAACCATAAGAAAAGAGAATTTAGTTTTCTCCATATTTCCTGTTAACTTAAGGAAGTGTCTTCACATAAGGCAAGTAAAATTCCGCATAAGTGGTAAAACTGCAGTCCAGTTAACAAGTCACCAGCATTGTAGGTGTTCCTTCACAGTCAAAAACAATGCAACAGGAAGCTGGGAGGAAGTCTGTCACATAATTTCACAGGCCTTCTCAATTTGTGGTCATTAGGCAATCCACTTCCAGTTGGCAAAGAGTGACTAAATGTTCTATCCTCCTTTTTCTGTGTTAAGCTTATGAGCTTCACCCCTTCCTCCTCTGCATCTCTTGCACTATATGGTGTCACTCTCTTTCTTCAGTACTCCTCTGCTCTCCTCCCTTTGGCAGACTTCAAGCTTGCATTTGGATGATCAGGCTCATCTTTGCAAGAGTTGAAGTATCAGACAAACACAGATCTGTGTCTGGGTGTAGCTACCTGAGGAGTGACAAGAGCAGAAACTTTGCATTCAAAAGGCTGGCCTACATCTGACTACCACTTTTCTAAAATGTCTTTTCTCAAAATATAAATTGTTTAACTTTTCCACAAAAACAAATGACAGCAAGAGTAGAGCTATTTCTGTCTGGTCTTTGATACTCTCTGCTCTGCCAGTTCTGAGAACATGAGGTATCATATGATGGTAATGTATTTGCAATGGAATACTGTTCCCGTTAGATGGTCGATGAATAGGATTTATTTATGGTGGGGTAGTTTATGTTACGTGTTTTCTTTTGTCTAGGTTTTAGAGATTTGATCATTACTTTAGCAGCATATTTTAAGATTTTCTCCCTTCAAGTACTCAGAAATAGCCAAATCTGGGTGAATGCGGGACTGACTGACGCCAGTCACTGTGCATTGATCACTGGACAGTAACAGACTTCAAGAGACAGAAACCCCCACGTGTTGCAACAAAAGCCCACACAGCACAGTCCCTGGACAAAAAGGGTTATCGAAATGCCAGAAATTCCAAACCTTGACTTGCACAAACACAGCTGATCCTAAAACTGTCCACAAAGGACAAACACACAATCATTCACAGCAACTGTTGGATGCTGTAGAAAACATAAACAGCACCTTTTGAAAATACATACTACCAATAGCAAGGCCTAATTACCACTAAAGGTTATCAAGGTCATAACTACATGAGAACATACTACATATACGTGTATGTGTGTGTGTGTGTGTGTGTGTGTGTGTGTGTCACTCCATTGTTTGCCTTCAAAGAAGACACTTCCAAGGCAAGGGCCCAAGCACGTCTGACAGTATTTGCTGTGATCTGTTTGAACAAGACCAATCTTGGCACAGACTTGTTTGTCCAGAGTAATCCACCATAATCCCCGTGCAGCCTTCACTCCTTGGTCCACACCAGCCTCATCTTTTTGCCATAAAACACATAAGCCACGTCAGGCTATAATCGCACTACATTACACACCAACCACAGCCATTTCAGACGCGGAGCACTACTGCATACACAAGCAAATTCAAGTTTCTGCAGTGTGAACCAAGTGTCCAGGAACAGCTGCTCTTGTGATATCAAGTTCGTTGCTCAATATTGTTGTTGCTCTGTTCATTTTGAATTAAGAAACGTAGCACTTGAATTACCTGCAGTTACGGGAAACAACCCCAACCACATCTGTTGACACGACACTATGTGCAGTTAAACACCCACGGATTACAGGCTTGTAGAAAGAAATCGGGTTTAATAATAAGGCACTGAATAAAACTTTTAAGCCTGGGTAGACAAAGTTGGAACTCCTACCTCCCATTGGATGAGTTTCCTCCGTTTCTGTTATCTTGCTCGGCCTCGAAAACAAGCCGAGCGACGGTGCGGGGAGTGAGGTTAAAATCCACTTTTTCACAGGAACACATCAACATTCTTAGATGCGTAAAGAAGCATCTGCCGGCTGCAGCTAACAGTTAGCCTTTAGCCAGCTAACGCCAAACACAGCCAAGTTTAGCTAACGCTGCCCCCCGACCTCCGAAGGCCGACAGCTCACAAAAAGATGACTATCTGGCTAGCAGGCTTTAACTTCCAGCAGATAGAGTACAACGCCGACGTCTTCCATTTTCATTTTAAAAACACCCCGCTATAAAACACTACTGTTAAACTAAATTTAAAGCTAACGGCCAACGTTAGCTTAGCATTGGCAGCGTAATAACTTGGTTTTAAAGTAAGAGACAATAGCTTTTTTGTCGAAAAGTGAAAAGGGACGCCAGTCAGTCGGCCGATTAACTTCGTACGCGGGGGGTTGCCAGAAGTCTAAACAAGAAAAGTAAACCCTTGCTGCGTGTGTAAATGGGACGTAAATCTGCCAACACGTTCATTATTATCATTGTCGAAGTTTTTCTTTAAAAAAAATCTTTAGTATTGTGTAATCAAACGTAGACAACTGTTGGCGTAACCAGACCCAACACCCCTCCGACAAACTTTGTAGTACATTCCGGGAAAATAACTGTCCAGAGGATGTGGCGAGAGAAGAACACTAGTGTTTACATTAAACAAACACTAACTATCGAAAATGTGTTTTATCTTTCAACAACTTTAACCTTCTTATCGAGTTAAAATAAATCCACCACGTTGCAGGAATGAACTGTTGTTACGATTAGGCTGTTTAATTGAGAGGGGAAACGACTGGAGCAGTCCCATACAGTTTAAGGAATCGGATTTTTGTAGCATAAACATGAAGTCACCGCAACTTGTTTTCTCAGTACACCACGAGCAACAAGTACAGGTAAATCCACAGGTTTGGCTAATTTTAGTTACTTTGAAGGGAGCTGTAATGTGACCAAAGTTAATGGGCAGAGGCATAGCGACCCCTTGTGTCAAAAAGGTTGTATGAATTTGTAACCTGATAATTTATGCCTCACTAAATTTCTTGACAACAATGTGAGGGGATTATGAGTCCCTATTAAGCAGACATTCATTTTTAAAAAGCGTTAGTGATTTATTGTAACTTTTTAGAAGCAACAAAAAGGCAGTGTGGCACAGTGTGTATGGCATGCAAGTTTATCTCACCTCTCTCCTCCTGCAGCAGCATCGCTTCATGTGGTGTCATGAACTATAATAGGTGGGATGCAGCCTGTGAGAGATTAAATATCTTCTCCTCCAGGTCACCTTGTCTGAAGCTGAAAACAAAAGAGCATACACACACGTTGTGGAGTGACACCGAAATAAAGTTGATCTATCTATCTATCTACATTGACAAGAAACTTTAAGTTAAGATGACATTATAACCAACAGAGGCACATGAGTTTAAAATACACCCAAAGACTGTACAGAGAAACTTAAATATTGTTGATTTTAAGGTGATTCTTTTCATTATTGATTTTTTTTTTTTACCGATTTTCCAGATTAATGGAGAAAACAAATGTATTTTTCCAATTAATTGTGAAAATAATAAGTATTAATGGTTAAAAATGTTGATCAAAGTTTACTATAGCCCAAGGTAGCATCTTGAAATTGCTTGTTGTGTCTGACCAACAATCCAAAACCTAAAGATATTCAGTTTGTCATCATATAAGACAAAGACATGCAACAAATCCTCACAACTGAGGGTGTGGAACAAGCATTTTTGCTTCAAAGACAACTTGAATAATGTATTGATTATCAAAACAGTTGCAGCTTAGATTTGTGTCGATCATGTAATTGGTTTATTGACTAATCATTTCAGCTTTTCTGGACTTTAAAGACCCTGGCAGTTTCAGTGAACTGCACAGGAAGTGCGATTTCATCTTTATCTCATTTCTAATGCCAACACCCCATCATCATGTGCACACACTTTGCATGTTTCAGTCTGAGCACTCAATGCACCAGAGTTTTTTTTTTTTTCTAACTACTAAACTTTAGAAGCTACAGAGCGGAGAAATGTACAGCCCTGATAGACACAAAGTCAGTCATCTTTTCCAAGTAGTGCTTTTTAAAAGGATACAGTATTAACAACATAGCTATTTCCTGAAAATGCATTTTGTTGTAATGATTCTGCTCTTACCTGCCTGTCAGTTTTGTTTTTCAGCCAGTGGTTGCTTGTGCATCCTTTCAAATCGATGGCAGAGCATCACAATGACTTGGCAATTTCAAATTCTCCATAGGTTTTCCAGGCATCCTCCGTCTTCTCACTCCCTGTGTCCACCTCCTGCAATCAACACTTCACCGGCTCCACTTCAAAACAGGGAACCAGCGTCAGTGTCTGAACTGAACTGAACTGTGTTACATATGCAGCCAAGCGGACGAGAAACTGCTCCGGGATACAGGGAGTTGTGTTGCTGAGCACCTCAGGCTGCTGAATCGGAGGACTGGAAACTCGATCTGTTCTAAAAATAAAAAACATCACCAGCATAGCGAGAAGGGAGGTGTGTCACTCACTGTGTGTATGCATGTGTAGGGTCACAGAGGTGCAGCCCACCCCCCATATACACAACACACACTCAACACACATACACACACACACAGACACACACAGTTTATCATATGTCAACATTTCCTTGAAGTTTCCCCTCTCATGTGTACACCAACCCAAGGTCTTTATTTCACCCTCCCTTGGTCACATATGTGTAATTTTCAAGATTGCTCTGGCTGGTTTTTATTGTCATTATCATTCACAGGCTATCACAAGGTTAAAAGAGGCAAGGACCCTTATCCCTGTGTCATCTAGTTACATCACATGACAACATCCTTGACCTCCAAAGCAGCTAAAATACACACACAAGTACATACATACACAGCCTGGCTGGCAGACGCCTGTATCCTACCTCTGTGCACTGTACATCTTTTTAATGTTTGTATGGCGGCAGAGTGGGATGTGTTTAATTTGACCTGACATGTGACAAGGCACTCCCCTTTAAAAAAGAAAAACAGCTCATTACATTCATCACGTCAACAGGCTGACTGTACCGATCACGTGAATCTTTTTGTCCCTGTAGTCAGCACGCAAGTTGAGGCCTTCAGTCAGTGTCTGTTTTGTCAGCCGTGACACCAGTGGCCTTGTTTTTCTGACACTGACCGACTGTCAGACCTTTTGATGTCAGATATCAACACTGACAGGAAGAAAAAACACACTGAACAAAAATTTAAATGCAACATTTTAGTTTGTGTTCCCATCTTTCACAGGTTTAAGTTAAAGATCTAAGACTTTTTTTATGCACGCAAAAGATGTATTTCTTTAAAATTTTCATACTTCTCCTTTTCTAAGATATTCCATCCACCTGACAGGTGTGGTATACCAAGATGATGATTAAACAGCATCATTGCTACACAGGTGTGTCTTGGGATGGCCACAATAAAAGACCACACCATACAATGCCACGGATGATCCAAGTTTTGACTGCAGGAATGTCCACCAGAGCTGTTGGCCCGTAAACTGAATGTTCTCTCTCTAAGATGGCTCCACTGTCATTTCTGATAATTTGGCAGTACATCCAACCATAAAATTTTACAGTTTCCTTGGCCGGGATATTTTGGCTTCATTTTTGTACAGTGGGAGGAAGTGAAGACGTGTCGTCCATCTTTATATACAGTCTATGGCACTGACTTGGTTGACTCACTGAGATGCTAACACACACTTCTAATAACCTAGCATTCAAAACACTGGAGCAAACAGTTCTGTGCTTAAGTGTCCTTGAGCAATGACCTGAATCTTTGCCAGCTGCAGGGCTCTGTGAGGTGACCGTGACCTCTGAGCTGTGGAGAAGGGCATGAGAAAAGAGTATTTATTTATAGACAAAAATAAAGCACCGTATTGCATTAAAATGTAGGTATGTGTAGCTATCCCTTTAAGTGCTGCACCTTTGTGTGCTTCACTCTGAGCACGTTTGTCTGAAAGGATTTGTTAAACAAAACATGTTAGGGATGATTTTTGCATGCCAGACTTGCTGTCTCTCTAACAAAAAATATATCTATCTATATAAAGATATAAAAGTCACTACATAAAACAATATGAAAACATTTTAGCAAAGATATTATTTTAGGCAAGCAAAGGTAATATCCAAAGCCTTTACAACATTTCACGCTATTCATTAATGACTGCAGATATTTATGATAAAGTGCCATTAAAAAGAAAAACATAATCTTTAGGATGTTGGAAACTTTACCTGTCTGAGAGAACTTTCCTTTGTCAGTCTATAAATCAGAAGAAACATGTCTGTAGCCCGGCTTTAGACGGTCAAGCTGTCATGGATCAAATCTCATCATCTCAGGTTTCCTGCTGGCTTTCAACACTCACAACGTCCAACTCTCCTGGATTCACACTCTCTAAATATAGCTGCCTTAAAGTCAGACAGGATTGCAAGGGAGGCTTAAAACTACTGCGAAGAAACACGGAGACTTAAGTGAATTTTAATAAACACTTTGTATGTTCTGAGGCATTTTGGGCCTTTGTGTAATGCAAGGTTGTTGAACTGATGGACTGACACTCTGGATTAAAGGACGGACTGGCCTGTTGTGAAGACCATGGTATTAATCAGGAACCAAGAGGCATTATGTCAGTAATGCAGTCTTAATCGCCACAGATATTTCTCCATACGTTTACGTCAAGAAAAGTTCAATATTTTGTTCAACGGGTGGTTATAAGTTGCTCCAGCAGAAATGATATGCAACTTGTCTCTCTTAGTTGTCTTCAGTCTTTTTGGTAAGTCAAAATAATCCATGTCTTTACCTTTAATTATGAGTGGTGGTTTAAGCTAAAAGTTTTAAGTGACTTCTCGTAATGATTCTCCAAGCTTTCTCGTTAAATCAGTTTCTTAAAAATTAAGAAAGGGGGCTAAACTTTAATCAGGCCATTATTGAACTATAAGTGTTTTTTTTTTTTATTAAAACAAAGTTTTCCTACTCCCTATGTTTTAACATGACTGGGTAAATCTCAATTACTGTGTACTCTGCAGTGTAGATCCACTGTAAAAACTCACAGTTAAAAATGTAAATGAGTAACAGATGAGTGAATCTGTCTTTATTTTATTGTACTATTAAATAAGTCTTATACACTCCTAACAGATTAATATTTCCACTAAACCTGCAGTTCACAAAGCACTAAATATGAGTCTCATTATCTCACATGAATACACATATTCTTGAATAAAGATTTCTAAGTGTCAAATGAAACTTTCAGACAGACGATCAATTTTTTTTTAGGAGAAATGCTGTTGTCATTCTGAGACACAGAATATTGTGTTACAGAAAAATGATCTAAGACTTGAGAATATATTTAACTATTGTGGCTGATAAATCTAATTCTATTCATGGTAAATTAAACATATATGAAATTAGAATTAGGGTATTTGTTCATGTCCTTTATTCAACTGTGCTGTCAAGTCTACAGTTTAATCTTTTATTTTTATCCTCTATCTTATTTTAAATCCTATTGACGTGTCTTTTTATATTGCTATATTTCTTTTATATTCTGTTGTAATGACTTTTAATGTCTTGTGTAAAGCATTTTACTTTGTTGTTGAAAGGAGCCACATAAATAAATGTGCCTTGCATCATACGGGCTTGAAACAGAAGAGGTATTTTAGACCTACATTATGTTATATTGATAGCCACAAGTGCTGCATTAGATTGCTGTTTCTAATTTAAACACATCCTCCTATCAAGAGAGATAAAGTTTAAATGATGAATGAAAAGTGATCACTATAATAATATGCCTGAATGTTCTTCCTCTCCTACTTATAACTCTATACTACATATCATTTTCATTTAATTTTTTTATGTCTGCCTCTTTGTCTTCTTGTTCCTCCCCTCCCTCTTTAGTGTCTCAGTGCCACGGTGGCTGCTCGGAGGTGGACTCCCTGACTGAAGCTGTGGCTGGAGAAGGATTCCTGCTGGGCTGCATCTCCTGTAAGAAAAGAGAGGAGGTGTCAGCCCGAGCTACTGTAGACTGGCACTTTAAACCGCTGGGAGAGGAGGAGTTCAGTCATGTGAGTTCACCAAAGGAACTGCTAAATCTGGCTGGGGTTTGTGAATGAAAAGGGCTTTCTTCTGCTATTAGGGTACCTTGAGCATCTGTGAAACAGTGCCATGAAGTATCACCAAAGATAGAAGTACATGTAATGGTTTTAATTAATCATTAACTTTATTCTGTATTTCTGCACTTCTCTACATTTGTATTTTGTCAGCTCTCTGTGAACTTTGGAAACTGGACAGCTGGTAATGGCCATTTTAGCAATCGATCATGAAATACAAGAAATCCAGAAATCCTATGTTGTTCGTACATTTTATTTATATAGGCTATATACAACCCTGATTCCCCAAAAAATGCTGCGTAAAATGTAGATAACAACAGAATGCAATGATTTGCAAGTCCTTTTCAAAATATACAGAAGTGAATGCAGTACAAAGACGTGATATTTAATGTTCCAACTGATAAACATTATTGTTTTCTGTAAATATACACTCATTCTGAATTTAATGCCTGCATCGTGTTCCAAAAAAGTTGGGACAGGTGCAACAAAACACTGGGGAAGTTGTGGCCCGCTCAAAAAAAACACCTGTTTGGAACATTTCATTGGTAATCAGGTTAATTGGTAACAGGTAATAGTATCATGACTGAGTATGAAAGGGGCATCCTCAAAAGACAAGGACAAGGACGATGCAAGATCCACCACTTTGTGAAAAACTGCATGGGCACATAGTCCAACAGTTTGTGAACAACATTGCCAAATGCACAATTGAAAGGAATTTCACCATCTACAAACCATAATATCATCGAAAGATTCAGGGAATCCAGAGAAATCTGTGCACATAAGAGGCAAGGCTGGAAACCAATACTGAGTGGCCGTGACCTTTGACCCCTCAGACAACTCTGCATTAAAAAGGGACATGATTGTATAAAGAATATTACTACATGGGCTCAGGAACACTTTGGAAAACCACTGTCAGTAAACACAGTTGCTGCATCTACAAATGTAAGTTAAGAGTCTACCATGCCAAGTGAAAGCCAGGTATCAACAATACCCAAAAACATCGTCGACTTCTCTGGGCCCGAGCTCATCTGAGGTTGACTAAGGAAAAGTGCGCTGTGCTTTGATGAGTCCACATTTCAGATTGTTTTTGGAAATCATGGACGTTGTGTCCCCTGGGCTAAAGAGGAAAAGGACCATCCAGATTGTTACCAGCGCAAAGTTCAAATGCCAGCATCTGTGAAGGCTCCATTGATGCTGAAAGCTGCACACAGGTTTTGGAGCAACATATGCTGCCATCCAGAGACCTCTCTGCTTATTCCAGCAAGACAATGACACACATGCTGCACATGTTACAACAGTGTGGCTTCGCATTAAAAGAGTGCAGGTACTAGACTGGTCTGCCTGTAGTTCAAACCTGTCTCCCACTGAAAATGTGTGGAGCGTTATGAAAAATACGACAACCAAGACCCCGAACTGTAGATGAACTGAGGTCGTACATCAAGTGGGAATGGGAAAGAATTTCACTTTCAAAACTTCAACAAGTAGTGTCCTCAGTTCCCAAACACTCACTGAGTGTTGTTAAAAGAAAAGGTGATGTAACACAGTGGTAATGTCTCTGTCCCAAGACATGTGTTTCAAATACAGACTGTGTATTTACAAAAAACAATAAAGTTTATGAGTTTGAACAATAAATGAATATGGGTTGAAAAGGATTGTAAATCATTGCATTCTGTTTTTTGTCATCAGGGTTATATATAAAATGTTCATACATATAATGTTCATTGTAAACTGGATTTTACATTGAACACAGTCTTAAACCCTGTTATGACTAATACACAAACAGAATATTTGTTGAAGTATTTCTGTGTTAGAAGGACATGCTACACTGTACACCATATTACTACAGTATTCAGACAGAAGTGTGCACTATATTTAGAGTAGGAAATCTATAAGAGGGGATGCATGCACAAATATTCATAAAATTACCACTTGCTTCCTTCTCTCAGATTTTCCACTATGACCATCCCAGTGCTAATATCCTCCAAGAAGATTTCAGCAACCGTCTGGAGTGGCATGGGACACTAAACAGTGATATTCAGACAGGATCCATTTACATTAATAACGTCGTCTTCAATGACACAGGGACGTACCGCTGCACCATCCACCGCACCCTCTTCCTGCCGCAGTATGATGAGCACGTCACTGTGGAGAAGGAGGTGGAGCTCAGCGTGGTGGCTGTAGGTAAGGTGGGGTGTACCTGTGAAAAGGCTGGCTGTCAGCAGTGGTAGAGCAAGTATTCAGATCCCTCACTTAAAGGAATACTTCACCCACCCATGACCATTTGTATATCAATTAGTCATGTCATGCTACCTTGAATTCACAAAGAACACGTTTATGTTTTCCTCGCATGCCTCCAAACACCACATTCACAGTTTCTCAGCTCTGTTTGAGACACAGTGCAGTTTAGAGTTGTGATCACACAAATGTTTCTGAGTAACACCAATAAATCAGTGTGTGGATCCAATGAAAATTCTCTTTTACATTAGACGATAACCCAGAGAAAAAGGTCCAAGGTCAGATGAGCCATACAGTGCTTGCATTCCACTGCTTCCATACAACCATCTCTCAGGAGCAGGACATCAAAAAAAGGACAGACACAAAGAAGAGTGTCTTTTCAAGGACAAATGTTTGTAGGTGTCTACACAGAATACGCAGTCCTAAGCCTTCCCCTGTAACGAGACATTGTTGGTTCCTCATTCGCAGCCAATCGTGAGCTGACTGCAGTGATCTCAGAGATCATGATGTATGTGCTGATCGTGGTTCTGCAACTGTGGCTAATTGTGGTTCTGGTCTACTGTTACAACAAGATTTCGGAGGAGCACGAAGCTCGGGAGGCCCGTAAAGCTCTCAAGGCTCAGACACAGTGAGTCATGTGTCTTTTATGTGATGTACTGAGGTGATTCATTTCAAATTCAGAATAAAGCCTTTAAACAATTTACTGGTCAATTCTCTTAAATAATGATAAACATTTTAATACAGTATAAATAGTGATTACAAAACACTTTCTTCCTGCTGTTTCTCACATCTAAATAATTCGCTTTTCCTGTTCTAATTCCAGGCTGTTAGAATCAAAAGACAACTGTGACGGCGTGCAGCTGGAGTAACATTAATGGTGAGTTAGATTTTTCTTTCACCATTATACAGATCTACTGGCTTGCACAACATCTGATTCAGAAAAATGTGATAATAAATTATGACACATAGCCCTGTGAAAGCATGCCTTTCTCTTTAAATGGTGTTTTGCTGTTCATTTTGTATCCACCAGGTAAAAAGATCATCTCTGCAAGGGTCACGCTTAACCACCATAACATGATTTTGCTAACAAAGACACATCTACTGTACAAGAGGTTGATTTTAAATGGCTTGGTCACGCTCAGTCATTTATGAAACCTGTATGATTAACTGTAAATACAAGCTGAGGTGTAGATGGCAGTAAGCAGGGCAGGTTTCTTTTACATGTCAGTGAAACATATTAAACACTTGAAAGTTTGTGTATTTGTTTTAAAAAAAAGTATTTAAAGGCAACTGGCCTTCAATGTATGGAATCCAATTCATGATTTTTTTTTTTTTTTGTTTAAATATCTTTAAATAATCAGCTTTATTAATTTTAAGGCCATAAAATGTCAAATTACCAGAGCCCATCATAGTGTTTTTACTGTTTGTGTGATGTGCTTGTTAAGTCTAAACAACACAGAAGTATTCAGCTGAAAACCATGAGACGTGCAGAGATGCAAGCAAAATCTGTGATGCTGTTACTGAAAGACATAAACAGTTCATCAGTTTTCCAGATAGGCATCGAAATGAATTGTCTGTTAATAAACTTATAGAATGAGTGATGTAGTAATTCACAGCCCTGTTAGCAGAGGAAAATGTTGGCATTGTACACTTCTGCAAATTACAAATTCACATTTGTACATTTTATGCAGATTATGTCAACGTTTGTAAAGTGATGTAGCTCTGGTTACATTTATGAGTTGACTTTGTCATGGGGAAGCTGAGGGGATGGTGGACAGAGTAAAACCTCAGTGAGACGACCACTTGAGACCATGGTTCAAGACAAACAAACAACAAAGCCAGTTGCTCATCAGCAAAGGCAGCTCCAGCAACAATTGTGCCACTGAATGTGAGTGGTTTTAGTGAGTTGCTGCTGTGTTTCCAGCAAAAATTATGCCACCAACATGGATGTTTTTTAGTGAGTCACTGTGGCATCGAATGTGGATGTTTTATTTATCAAGTCATTGCTGTGTTTATAGCGGTGAGTGTGACACCGGTATGGGTGTTTTTAGTCAGTCGTTGCTGCAACAGTGCCAACAAAAGTGTTTTTTTTTTAATTGAGCCGTTGCTGCATTTCCAGCAGCGATTGTGCCACCAAATGTGGGTGTTTCTTAACATTAGTCGCTGCATTGCCAGCGTTAATTGTGCCCTGCATTTTCATCAGTGATTGTGCCGCCAAACATGGGTGTTTTTTAGTGAGTTGTCACTGCATTGCCAGCAGCGATTATGCCACCAAATGTGGGGGTTTCTCAATGAGTCTTCATTGCATGTCCAGCAGTGATTGTGCCATAGAACATGAGTTTTTTAAGTCAAAAAAATAATTTCCTAACCATAACCAAATGGTTTTTGTGCCTAAATATAACCACGTTAACCACAGCATTGTTGAAATGTAAAGTTTCAGTGTGTCTGCTGCATAATTCTAACATTTTGTCATTTGCTGAAACGTGCAATGCCAACATTTGTTCTGGTGATTAGGTTGCAATTCAGCACAACTTTAAAGACTTAAAAATACTTAAAAACATACCATTAACAAACAATTTATCAGTATGCCTCACCTCTCTGTAGTGCCCTGGTTTCTATAGAGCAGACATTTGTTTTCATAAAGCAGTTTTAAAATAAATGGCTTCAGGTGAACTGGTGGCTCACTGGGCTGAGGTGCGTACATGTAAATATGCAGGGTTTAATGCAGCCCAGGACATTTGCAACAACCAAGTTCCTCTTTTGCATGTCTGACCCCGGGTCACAATTACAAGTAACACATAAGGCCTCTATGTGTTAAATTGTGACAAATACCAGAGGAGAGTTGTTCAGTTTCATTAGTATGACCTTCTAGGTATCTGAGAAGTCTTAATATCCTGAGATTTAAACAGATTCCGCATCCCCGATATTGTGATGTTGACATTACATAGTGTTAAGCATAAGCAAGATGTCTTTATTTACCAGTGTCAACACCGGCACTGTTTTGGTCAGTCTTATCCGTGTTTCCATGTCTGTCCATGTTTGTAAATTAATTTGAATAAAATAAATGTTTTTGTAAATCAGTTTTTGTCTACTGCACCTGCTGCTTTTGCTGTGTAGGTTAAGAACGTGACCTTATCACAGTTTACTTTGACAATGATGCACTGTCGAAGAACTACATAAGTTCTCTAGATGTTTTTTGTGTGCAAATTCTGTGTAACATGTCTTTTTCAAAATATACTTTGTTTGAAAACATTTTGGAGAAAATACAACATTGAATTTGTGACTTTTCTGTGCCTGCCAATTCTACTACAGAATATGAGTGCACACATATATGTATCTGCAGGAATCTCAAGCTTAAATACTTTTTTTTTTTTTTTTTTTTTACAGCAGAGAGTAAAAGGACATTTAGAGGTGATTGTGTTGTAACTCAATCTAGTCTGAGCTGTACTGCAGACTGTCCAAACTAACTCCAGTCTGAAAGCAGCTTTGTTCTCCTGCTGCAGCCCGGCACCACCTACTAAAATGTGAACATTAGAGATTTTGATTAATACATGAGACAGTGCAACCAACCACATGCACTCTTCACAAACTGGGTCCAGACACCAGTCTTGAGCCACAAAGGATGATGGAAACTGCACAAACAAGTAATTCTTAATATAAGTTTGTCCCTGATTAGTTTTCACGTGCAGTCGTAACCTAAATGCATTAAAGCCAATTTGACATTTCCTTCTAATAGTTTTCATGTCATCTTACCATATTAACACTGCTTAAATGAGGTCTGATGTAAAGACAATATTCTAACTCCAAACATGCCAATCGACAGTAAACGGATAGTTTCAGAAAACTGCACCAGTATAGGACAGTGGTTTAAGTCATGCTACACCGCTCCCTTACTACGCTGAGCTTTTGACCTTGCCCTGTGACCTCGTTTCATTAGAAGTGTTGACAAGTTGAAAATGCTGCATATCTCCTCTGCGTAAAAGCGTGAGCATGAGGGAGGGCACATTAGGACCAAGACAAGACGGGGATGTACACTTCCATTCGAGGTGTAGCACAAGACCAGCTGTTTCTACTGCTACTGGAGATACATGACTTGAAATCATCTGTGTCTGCTGCTGCCAGTGACAGTGACAGCAGGAACTGTTCCAGATACTTGAAAGGTAGGCTTTTCTCTCTTCTGAACGAAGCTTGAATAATAATGTACATATAGCTTGTAGGAATTTATTGCATCACCTTCAATTTCCTAACACCAAAACTAAGTCTGAAAGGTGACTATCCAGTGTGACATTGCCAATGTGTAGTTTTAACATACGATGACATACTAAGGCGGGGTCGCCAATGCTTCACGGGGGAATGTGAGGCCTTCTTGATTTTAATTGTAAAAGGTGTTAGAAAACTCAAAATAAAATAATATATATAGTTTTCTTAACACCTCATTCAATTACAAATATATATATTTTTTATTTTATTTTTCTTATTAAATCTCACAGGATAAAGGCACAATGGAGAAAAGTTATTAAATGTGTGTGATTAGTTCCTGAAAGTATATATCAACTTCCTGCAGTTATTGTGTTCACTACTTGGGTTAATTGTAAAGTTTATCAGTTGTTCTGTATTGTCATTGTTCTGCATTGGACATTTTAAGAAACAGCCATAAAATATGTCAGTCAGGGGTCGTTGTTTACTCAATAATACAAAAGGAGTACCTCATAGGGATAACTTAACTCACAAAACTGCCATTTGTAAATTAATTAGCTATATGCAGTGTTATCTTCATCTCATAAAGACAACATCTTTCTCATGCTTCCATGGAAAACGTAACATGTTGATTTATTGATTGATCAGGGACCCCGTTTAACAGCAGCAAATGTAGCAGCAACCAGCTGAGGTTTTTTATACTCTGAGATACAGTCTTATTCTTGAATAATTATGCCTCTCACTTAGCTCCTCCATCATTTTTTCTATTGTCCAAATATGCATTCAATCTGTCAGAATAGGGGGAAAACATCACGTCTTCAAGCAACTCAGACATCATGCTTTTCTTATTTATTTCTTACATCTTGTGGCGTTGTAAGCAGATTAGGAGGAATAATTCAGACATTAATATTGCTAAATAATACTAGAGGAATACAGCATATTTTTGGCAAAGATAAAGTAGATCTTTTCTGAGGTAAATCTTTTTCTCACTTTCTCGTTTGCAGTTTGCTGAGCATCCAGCAGAGGTCAGCCATGCCACACATCAACACCACCGAGCTGCAGTCGCTCCTGCTCTCCTTCCTCCAGCGCTGCCTTAACAGCACAAGTGTAGTGTCTCCACTGATACCTCAGAATTACACTACCCAGGAGGCTGTGCACCACATGGCTGGAACCAGAGCCCCCACTCAGTCTCAGGGCATGATGTATATCCTCCTGGTGGTTGGCATGTTCAGCTTCTTCACATTTGGCATCATGCTCAGCTACATTTGTTCCAAGAAGCTGGAGAGCTCTCAGGATCCATATCACCAGTACATTGCCCACGACTGGACCAAGGTGATGACTCCGTCCAGGGCCGTCGCTTAGGCGCTGCACAGGGAAGCTGCACGTGATGGAGCCAGCAGCAAGGAGCCCATCGTCATCTGCAACCCTGCGACACTGGAGTAGCTGCCAGACTAGAATGAGACATTCAGCTATTTAAGCATTTTTCATTCAAAATAATGAATAATCTGTGACACAAGATTTTGAATTACCTTAACTTTTAATGTCACATAGCAACCAATAGTTACAGTGTTAGGTTTGTATTTCAGAGAAGTAATTTCACAGAAACAACTTGCACCATAAAATTGCCTCACGTTGCTTTTTGTTATCAACACGTGCAGTTCCTCACACTTTATAGTCCCACAGCCATGACTGCTCAATAATACTCCTCCACTGACACCTGACGATCCTGCATATCTGGACAATAACAGCAGGAACGCAGAGTTAAATTAGTGGCACCACTGTTTCTGACTTTGATTCAGAGTGTGTAGGAATAAGTGGAAGAACAAATCCGTCTTGCCTTGTGGACTGTGCTGATTCATATCAGTGAAAACAAATGAATAAATTAATAAACCACTGATCTCAAATCATTATTCCGTTCACTCAGATTCAAAATTTTACTGTTTTGATCTCAGTAAATTCTTCATCCAAGACATCAGGCCTTGTTTGGAATTTTTACGCTTAATTACGGTGTTGGCTCTTTTTTTCTCCTCCTTCCTCCTCTCTCTCTCCTTCTCCCTCTCTCTCTGCTGGTCCAGTCTGTGTTGGCGGGCTCCTTTCACAGCGCGGTCAATCTCTCGTGACAAACTGAAGTGAACCATTTGCATGTTGAGCATCGGTACGATGAGGTTGTAATTGTCCACCATTTTGTTAAGTTTCACCAGCTCCTCCTGTACAGATGCGCACAGCTGCTCCCATTGGCTGTGCTCCTCGGGGGTCAGGGGGTCGCCAAGCCTGGCCCTGCCCCCCAGCAACCTATTTCGGATCTGAGCAGTGGTCTCTCGGATGTCGCGTTGTGTGACGACCCAGGGTGGCTGGTAACCATTGTCTATGAGGATGCGGTTGAGGTTGTGGGTCATAGGATCAGCGTATGGATTGTGCTCAAACTTGTTGAGTGGCTTTCCAGCTCCACTCAGTTTCCTGAAGTCTCCTCGGGCCATGGACTCCTGGATCAGGTCCTCCACAAGCCGCTCCACAGCCTGGGTGATCTTGATCTGTCGGCTGCGCTGACGCATGTCCCGTTCCACCAGTGCCCCCTCTGCAGCGGCTGCCCTCTCATGCTCCCTCTGCCTCTAGTTCAAAACTTGCTCAGATGCTCTGTCGACACGGATCTGCTGGTACTGACACTCACGTTGGCTGGGTGGGCCTGAGCCCACTCCCTCGTAACTGAGGTAGTGTCTGTGTGGAAGTGCTGTACCTCTGGACCTATCCTCACTTTCCACTTCCTGTCCTCTATCGGGTTGCTTGGTCTTGCTCTGATGTGCCAGCACAGCACGGTAGGCCTGCTCAACCTGAGCAAACAGAACTGCATCTGCTGTTGGAGCCCCAGAATCTGGATGGTAGAGTTTGGCTAGGCGCAAGTAGGCCTCTTTCACCTGTGCAGGACTGCTGTGTCCCTTGTCAGGCAGTTGTAGAAGCCTGTAACTCTCTTGCAGGCTTCGGCTGATCTGGGGCATGGAGCTGAGAGCTCTGAGAAACAGGGACGGGACAAGCAGAAAGAGGCCATGGGAGAATCCGCTGCGAGAAACCAGGGGATGGAAAGTGCAACTCATTTCTGTCACACTCCTGTGGGTTTGAAAAAGGGTAATTACTTGAAACGACAACCAGTCATATAAATGATCAGTAAAAAAGGCATTGTGTCAGGCAGGAGATATCTTAGCAGCGATGCATCCAAATAGATTACCAGTAGTTCAAATAAGCTTAAATAAAAACTAAATATCCTTGTCGCAGTAGCATGTAAAATTATAGGAGTAAGTCAGGTTCAGCTCTGAGTATCTGTTGTTCAGGGAGTTTCATTTACTGCCATGTGGTTGTTGCTTTTAAGTTGAAGCTAGATAGACTAAAAAGACTAAATCGTTCTTTGTGTCTGCCGTAGTAGGCCTGTTTCACTCCCACTGTACTGATTATTTGTAGAGATGTGCACCATTAGTCAACTAGTCCATTAAAAGCTGCTACCCGCATGAGTCAGCACCACAAATCCTAGATGGTAAAACTTACTATTAAAATTATTGAAATGTTGTGCTTTTGTGTTCACCCAGTGAACATGCTGTAGGAATAATCAGGTACAATTCCTACGGATTTAATTTCCTAAAGAACTCTGTTTTCAATAAATGTTATCTAACTTTTTTTTAAACAAGTTGTTATCATGTTTTGTAGGTGTGGAGGTGGGTGCGGTTAGTAGTCGTCGTAGTAGTAGGTTTGACGTTGTGTCCTAACGTCATCTGACTGCAAAATAAATTAAGGGAAATAATGACAGATTGATTGATTGAAATAGAGAAAGTGCCTCAATGTTTTTCACTTGTCATGATCATGAATTGCCTTATTTTTAGCACATTGACTTTGGCTTTATATCCTTATTGTTTGGGGTTTCACAGACCTATTTGCTGTATGTTTAAATTTAATCGCAAAATAAACCATTTTTCCTTGAAGTGTGTTTTAATGGCAACACTTCCCTTTGCCGCAAACTGAGCTTGTACATTTGATGAAGGTGATAATACTCAGAAATCATCATAAAACATTGTTTTTATGCCAAATAAAGACACATGTAATGTTTTTATGTTATATGGGCTTTGCATGGACAAATATTACATTATTATACATTCATTTACCAAGAGTCATTCACAAGGACAGAAATGTACTTAAATCTTCAATTAGACTCCACAGGTTCAGTGTGTAAGATTTAGGGGGATAATTTGGCAGAAATGGAATATAAAATGATAAGTATGTTTTCTTTAGTGCATAATCACCTGAAAATAAGAATTGTTTTTGTTACCTTCGACTGAGCCATTTAGATCTACGCAGGGAGCGGGTCCTCATCTACAGAGTCTGTCATGTTGCTCAGTATGGACAAACCAAACACTGGCTCTAGAAAAGGCCATTCACGTTTTTTGATCCTGACCACCTTATTTAAAAGCTCCTCTGCGATGAGCAGCATTTGAAAAACACTGACATTTACTACTGCTTTATTCAGTGTTTTTACAGGTGTAATACCCCGGATCCATTTGTTTTGGAGAGGAAGAGACCTCTGCGGATAATTTGGCTCCCAGTAAAAACCTTCTGAACGTCTGGATCTTAAGTTATCAGATAGAAAAGGTGAGCACACATTAGCAGGTGCAGAGCTAGTGGCCTGTCTCTGACATGCCAAACAGAGTCAGAGAAGCACTGGTGTGTAACGTGAAACAGCTTCATTTGGTGTTTTTACCAATATACATCCCCGGGTCTGTTTGTTTTGGAGAGGAAGAGACCTCTGTGGATAATTGGGCTCATAAGCTGAGTGCACATTAACTTATCAGAGAAAAAAGCTAGGTATACATAGCAGGTGCTGGGCGAGCGGCCTGTCTGTGATGTGCCAAACAGCATAGTGGAAACACTGATTTGTAATGTGAAACTGCTTTATTCAGTGTTTTTACTGGTTTTAATCACCTGGTCCGTTTGTTTTGGGGAGGAGACGACGTCTGTGGATAATTCAGCTCTTGGTAAAAATGTCCGGAACAATACACACTTAAGGTATTCTTATCGGGAGAAGTTTCAGCTGGTTCCAAGCTGCAATCCTCACCACTAAATGCCACTAAATCTCATTAAATCTTACACACTTTTCCTTTAAGCACTCTCTTATAAAACTCAACAGAATAACAAATAGACAACCAACATTTTTTTGGAGTTGTGGTGCTGCGTAAAGAGTAGTGTCAGCAATCGCACATATAGAACATAGAAGATCAAATGTATCTAAACGCGTTTTACAGCTGAAGTCACTGAGACCTCAAACATAAGTATCAAACACACTCAAGCCGATAAAACAAGTATAAATATGTTTTTGAACTGTCAAACGTGCAGGGGGTCTTCAAGACTGAAAACAAATGACTTTATACAACTGGTCATGCTGTATTATAGAGTATTCATATTATGCCACTGTCTATACTGTACATAGCCTGTCAGATCTGCGGTGTATACACTATATTCATATCATACCTCCAGGTGTTTATTCTGTATATAATTTCTTACTATTAGTATTTCTTGCATTTAAACCTGCACTTCATAAGCTTTATTATTTACTTATATCTGCACTGCCTGCTGTAACTGTTGTACATATTCTTACCTTGTCGTTTTCTTTACACACTGTTGCGGCTGTATATTCATCTCTGACTGGTTTACATTCTGCATGTATTCTTTATATTACTGTTCATTCTGTTTGTACTCTGTTACGCTGCAATTTATTTATACTTTTCACTAGTAGCTAAAAAAAGCTGCTATAATTAAAAAAAAGGCAATGACTTTTATTAAGACTTTTTCAAATGTAACTTATGAATTTTATGAACTAGCGAACAGCTAACTGAAGCTAAAAGGAGAATGACTTTACTGTCACAAACCACATTACGTGTCTGTTTCCAGGTGTGTTTTCCCTTTAATGGCCGTGGCGCGAGACCGCACTCGGTCATCCTCATCAATAACTGACAGAAACACTGAGGTTAAACTGAACGTTAACGTTAGCTGGGTAACGCTACGACTAAAGAGGTTAGCTAAAGTCATCCAGGACAAGACGTTAATTAACACTGAAAACGGAATGAAACGAGCCTGTTTACGGCACATTAATGAATTCAAGTTAACGTTACATGACTTCCAACTTTCAGCCATGGATATATAAAGAGAATCCTACAAAGAGTCAGGTCACCTGTGTGTGTTTAGCTTGTTGACATCCGGGACCTTCTTCTTCTTCTTCTTCTTCTTCTTCTTCTTCTTCTTCTTCTGTTCCTTCTTGTCGCGTGTCTCTGCAGTTGTGTTGTGTTACCGCCCTCTGTCGTCCGTCTGGCAGCACTGACCCCAACCGCCGAGGAGACGGAGAGGAGGACACCACGGGAAACGGCTCTCCAACGGGCGGAACTCGGGAGACACTTCGACCCCAAGTCCTGTCAACTCAACCAGACATGATTTACCGCTGTCATAACAACTGGACGGACTTTATCTCTGACAGCTGAAGCTACGAGCTGTTTTAAAACGGTTTGTAAAACTTACTTTAACTCTTAACGTTACTTTCGCTTTCATGGTTTTAACTTGAGCTCCATTAGTGTGTAAAAACCGTGGTAACGTTACGGTAACTAACACTTTTCAAACGTCAGTATGTGAACAACAGGTTGCTAGCTGAAGTTGCTAAAGTGCTTTGACAAGACAGTTTATTAAAACAGACACTAGAATATAAGAAACAGCAAAGACGACGTTCAACGAGAGACACTGAGTTTACACACACAGACACACTCATGTTAGGCCACTGTACTTGAGGTATTTCTACTTTACTTGAGTAGTTATTCTATTAAATTATTTTACTTCATTGTATTTTGAAAGCCAATGTTTTAACTTTTACCTCACTACAACCCTGTACAGATTAATCTGCTCAGTAAATCAAATAATATCTGGGACCCATAATAAACCTGCTATTGTTCATGTGTGAGAAATGTACTTTTTATTACAAACCTACACAACTATTTTGATAGTCTACTTTTTGTTTTGCTCGTGGACGCAGCACCATTAAAACGCAAAGATAGTGAACAAGAGTGACTCTGGGGTTGGCCTTCACTTTCAGTGGTGATACTGTTTCAAAGAGTAACTGACAATTCCTGCGTATTATACCTTTAACTGAGCCTTATATTGTTGTATATCTGTTGTTATTTCTGTTCTGTTTATTTTGTTTTGCATTCTTGGTGCTCTGATCTAGAGCTGCAACAATTAATCAGTTAATTGATTAGTTGTCATCCATTAAATTAGTTGCCAACTAATGTGATTATTGATTAACTGGTTTTGAGTATTTTTCTAAAGGAAAAAGCTTCTTAAATGTGAAATGGAAACTGAGTATCTTTGAGTTCTGGACGAAACAAGACATTTGAGGACTTCATCTTGACATTTTATAGACCAAACAACTAATGAATTAATAGAGAAAATAATGGACAGATGAATCAACAATGAAAATGATAATTAGTTGCAGCCCTACTCTGATCATTAAAGAGAGACACCATGTTATTTATCATTGAGATGTATATGAAACAACAGAGGTATGCATATTGTCTACGAACATACTGCACATTGTTGTGAAGTCTTTATCTTATCTAAAGTTTTTAAATGTATTTATTTTTTACGGCTCCTTGATCCTCAGCAGCAGCAATTGATAAAAATACAATGGCAGAAGGTAGGTGTATTATGTGCACAGTCTTCTCACTGAGTCCATCACAACATAACAACAGCACAAGAATGTGCAACATACTGAACGAATGTAGAAAAACACATAATTGAAGCATAAAAGAAAGAAATGTCAATCAAATACAATGTAATATACTTAAAAACAAAGCATAAGACATTACAACTAAAAATAAAAGACACAGGACAGATTTTGCAGATTTGCAGCTCAGTCTTATTTAATTTTACTCACTACTGCACCAAATTTGCAGCTGACAATTATCCATTACTCCTGTTTCACTAAGGATGGTAAAACAAATTACAGTGCACAGCTGTTTGAGGAATTCTTTCGCCTTTAAAAAACAAAAATGGAAGTATGTATTTGATTTACATTTCCATAGGAACAAATGGGCTCGGGCTGAGAGCCACAGACCGGCTGGGGAAGCTGAAAAGTATTGAGAGAGACAGGCACATCGTTGGTTTTGCTCTTTTCGTTTTGGTCTCTTGACAGTTAGAAAATAACAGATTTTCACCAGTCTTTTCCTTTTTAAGTCTTTTTTTTAACCTGACAACCAATCAGGGCATTTAAAAAAGTGGTTGTGTTGGGTCCATCCAAGTTTTCATTTTCCCTTTTGTTTCAGCTGGGAAACCTTCAACCGGAGCAACCAGTGTAGATACCATGGCAGAAGGTGGGTGCAGAGGTAGTATGATGTCTTCTCAATTAATGATTTGTAATCTGCTTGTAATCANTTTTAACCTGACAACCAATCAGGGCATTTAAAAAAGTGGTTGTGTTGGGTCCATCCAAGTTTTCATTTTCCCTTTTGTTTCAGCTGGGAAACCTTCAACCGGAGCAACCAGTGTAGATACCATGGCAGAAGGTGGGTGCAGAGGTAGTATGATGTCTTCTCAATTAATGATTTGTAATCTGCTTGTAATCATTCACTGATCAGATTATCTAGAAACCCAGAATTTGATAGTAAGGGCCCCTGACACACCAAACCAATGGTCATCCATTGATTAATGTCAAAAGTCTGCTGCCCTAGTTTTTGTTTTGTGTCCCACACCGTTGGTCTTAATCGGCCCTCATTGCCTGTTTATTGGCTGATACAACATGATGAACTGGTGGCGGAGTCAGTGGAGCCTGTTGGTGAGTAGAATCACTCTGATTGGCAGTTCAGCTCAGCGTACGAAAAGAGAAGCGCAAGTGAGAAAAGCAAACAAGTGGCTGACACGATGGCCTCAGACCTTTATCAGGTTCAGTAAGTTACTGAACCTGATAAAGGGCTAAAAAATCGAAACGTTCTGTGCTTACTAAAGTTTATTGCAAGTAAAAGGTTAGTGTTGGGCATTCTCTTTCTTGACCCACATGCAGTTAAAAACACTATAATGAGTGCAACACACATACAGCTGAACTTTAGAAATCACCTTTACAAATTCTTAAGTCCTTTTCCTTGATAATCCAAGTCATTAATTCTGTTTCTGATGAATCTCAGTCATTTACACTTTGATTATTGAAAGTATAAGTTTTATAGCATCTTGCAATGAATTTTCTCTAAAGATGAAATGTGTCAAGTTAGCTTCACGTCATCTCCAAATCATATCAGTCATTTTAGTCATTTATTTATTTTATTTTATTGTTTTATAATATTATAATATAATGTTGTAATTGTACTCTCGCCTCACAGCAAGAGGGTTGCCGGTTCGATCCCGGGCGTGGGAGCCCTTCTGTGCGGAGTTTGCATGTTCTCCCCGTGTTAGCGTGGGTTCTCTCCGGGCACTCCGGCTTCCTCCCACAGTCCAAAGACATGCAGATTGGGGACTAGGTTAATTGATAACTCTAAAATTGTCCGTAGGTGTGAATGTGAGCGTGAATAGTTGTCTGTCTCTATGTGTCAGCCCTGCGATAGTCTGGCGACCTGTCCAGGGTGTACCCTGCCTCTCACCCGATGTCAGCTGGGATAGGCTCCAGCCCCCCCGCGACCCTCAAGAGGATGAAGCGGTTAGAAGATGAATGAATGAATGAATGTTGTAATTGTTTTTACATTTTATTTTTAAAAATGTAAAAATAGGAACATATCTTTAAAGTTTGTGTATATGGAAATAACAAATACATGTACATGTAAAACCAATCAACTCTAGGCTTGCAGTAGTGTGAGATTTTCACGTTACGATAACCAGAAAATATTGCGGTTTCACGGTATCATGGTATTAAAGAATTTGTCTTGTTATCAGTCAGAGTGACTCTTAATGGAATAAAAACAGAAGGGTTCTGGTTGGTTAAACAAAGGTTTTATTACTATAATTGAAACTTGAAACCATTGTGTTAATGGAAGTATGTGTAAAAAGTCTCCCCTTAGAACATAACTAAAATAAAGGGGAGATTCAACGTCCAGTTGAATTTTATTTTATATTGCAGATAAGCAAATGTACACAGTTTGACAACCATCAGCTTATATATCACTTTATACCTTGAAAGCAGTATATCGCTGCAACCCTGATCAGCACTACTGAATAATCTTTTAGATCCACCACATTCGCATTTTGTTCTGTACACACGACATCTAATGCATGTCTGTCCATCCTGGAAGAGGGATCCCTCCAGTTGCTCTTCCTGAGCTTTCTACCATTTTTTCCCCCGTTAAAAGTTTTTTTTGGGGGGAGGGATATTTCACTATCTGCTGTGATGGTCCAAGGACAGAGGGATGTCATATGTTGTAAAGCCCTCTGAGGCAAATCATGTTTTATGACGTTGGACTTTAGATATAAAATCAAAATTTAATTTAGGTTATTATTTGTACGGCCCTTTGAGGCATGCCTACATTGGGCTGTAATAAACTTTGACGTGATATTATTATGTCACTGTTAAAAAGGTTTAAGTGTCACTTTAGGATTAAATCATTGGGATCATAAATGTTCATTAAGCCTGATGTTAAAGTTAGTAGGTCTTTTTCTACTTCTTTTCTCCTCAGAGAAACAGCGGCCTTCACTGATCCAGAGGGTGAGTAATGTCACATCACTCTGACTTTACACAGTGCAGCTTTTATTTTTATTTTATTATTTCTCACAGAATTGAACTGATTAAGCTGCATAATGAACACATGAGGTCTTCAGCATGAATATTATTTACCAATAATGTTGATCATTTGTGTTAGATTTACCTTTAGTGGAACATATATGTAGCACACACTTCTTGATTTGTTTTTCTAACTTTGACAGGGAAAGAAATTAACAAAAGTCAAAAAAATTATTATAGTGTGTTTCTTACTTTACTATATGAGAAGAAAAGATGCAACTGGTTAAACTCTGCAGCTCTGTTTTAAAATCAAGAGACTCATTGCAGTTTTTATCAGTGTTTGAAAGAGTTTAGTTTTGCCATGACCCCAGAACAACCAAAGAGCTGAAACAACACTCATTGATTCCCTCTGTGATCTCTGTAACCATGGCTTCCTCCTGCCTTCAGTCCACACACCTGAAACTGAAATATTAAAGGCTTTGTTGTTTGAAAGAGTTTAACACAGGCAATGAAATAAAATACAATGAACCTGTTTATGAAAATAAGATACTTGTAAAAGAGGATAAAAAGAATGCAGCTTGATGTTGCTAATGTTAATGATGCACAAGCAATTAAAAAAATAAAAAACAAACCTGGTCTTTGACCATTACTTTGTGTGATGTAACTGATGTACTCTACCCAGGGGTGGAAGTAACGAGTTACAAATACTCACGTTACTGTAATTAAGTAGATTTTTTGGGTACTTGTACTTTTATGAGTATTTTTTTCAAGTGTGTAATTTTACTCATACTTGAGTACAATTTACACCATGTAATCTACTTCGCTACTTTAAAAATCGTAAGTCGCTACTGATTACGCCCACAATTTGAATTAATATTCAAACCTTTCATCTGCATCTTTGTAGCCAATAAAGCTGTCCAATTAATCTATGACGTAAGGAAAGGACAACTCTGCTGCAGCAGGCACAGGTCTTTACTTATGGAGGGACTGTTCTTTACTTGTCAGGGGAGGAGGGTGGCTGGTTGATTCTTATTTTATTTATTTATTTTATTTTGATCCCCCTTATGTTAATCACTTATTGATGCTGTTTTGTAAGTATAAGTTAATAAGTAATTTATTCCATTGAAATATTAGTGATGTATTATAGAAAAGTGATTTATCTTTTTATAAATGACAAAAGGCACATCTGCCTGATTTTTGCTGTGGTATCGTGATACTACTCAGAACCGTGATACTTTAACTGGTATCGTACCGTGGGTCCCAATTTTGGTACCGTGACAACACAAGATGTCACAACCATTCCGTTCGGAGTCTTGCAGTGAGGCGGCTCGGGTGCCGCTTAGAAAAACAACGGGGGGAACACTGCTCTCTCAGAGGCCCAAAGTGTTCCCCTACTTTTAATTTTACAAATTAAGCACTGGTTATTAGTTTGGCTAAGATACGTCTGCAAAGATATTGTCACTGCCACTGATTTGCCTGAAAACTTAAAATAAGACGGAGCTAGCTAACGTGTGCGCGTGCCTGCATGCATAATTAAGCTACAATTCTTAGAAATGTTTTAGCTTAATATTTGGACGACCACCGTCATTACAATAAATTAAATCTGTAGTCATTTAATTCTCACAGGCCTACATTCAGCAGGCCTATATTTTGTGCTAGAGTGACGCTATGTTATATGAAACATTAACTATGAAAATTAACCATGTCATGTTAGCTTTTCGGTAAGGGGGGGTAAATAGTGCTCCAAATTTAGGCTAACATTTAGCATGGAAAACAGGGCACAAGCAAGGGGTCCCTTGTTCTCTTACTTCAAGATACCTGAATGAAGATATTTTCGTATGATAAGCGTTACCCCTTTACAGACACATCCACTTCACTCTAATCCCTTGCAGTTTTGTGCAAAACCCACGCGGTTATTTTGTGTGCGGTATTTATGTAATTTCACCTATTCTGTTTTATTATTCCTGCATATTGGGGTCCTTAAACAGTATTACAGTTGGATAAATTGGGGCTGACTGGAAAGCTGTGACTCTTGTGGAGTCAGTGAGCCCCATGTATTCATGTGTGTGCCATGTGTTTACACTCTTGCCTCATAATAGGCATCATTGCAGTACTTTCACTGTATAAGGTGAGCTGTTTTTGATATTTTATATAGGTGAATCGAATCGAATGCCTGCTATTGACGACACAATAAAACATCCATCGGTTAAAAATAATTAATACTCTGAGTAGTTTTTGAGAAGAGTACTTTGTACTTTTACTTAAGTATTTTTTAAACACCAGTACTTTTACTTGTAATTGAGTACAATTTAAGCAATGTAACAGTACTTGTACCTGAGTACAAATTTTCAGTACTCTTTCCACCTCTGACTCTACCACATCCTTATTTATAAAACAGGACACTGATGAGATGTGAACAGAAAACTTTGCAACCATCCAGCTGACAAATTGCACTTTTACCCCATGAACATTTCCTCTGAATTTACCAGGTGGAAACAATGACGTCTGTCATAGAGCTGCTTTTGGAAACACTGGCTGGTTTGAGTGACGGGGAGCTCAGGGAGTTCAAGACGGTCCTGCGTCAAAGTCACCTCTACGGACTCTTCTATTGGAGGCAGCTGAGGACAGACATGCAGGACACAGTGTTTTTAATGGTGCAGATTGATGGCCAACAGTCTGTGGAGACGACCAAGGAGGTTTTAAAGAAGATGAAGAGGACTGATCTGGTGCAGATGTTGTCAGACAGCAGCAAAGGAACCAAAAGTAAGACAATAAAGGCAAAAACATTTTAAAATGATAAAACTGGTCCCGAACATGTGTCTCCTAAGTTTATAAGCTGTTTTCTTCTCTTCACATTATAAATAATAAGGTTTATACTGTAGAGAAGAGACACATCATCTGGTGTTTTATGTCTAATGTGAAGTATGGAAACGTATTTCAGGAAAGGGGGCAAAATGTCTCAAAAATAATCTGAAAGTTCAAGTGTAATTTTGTGTTGACCTTTTTGTAATTATTCTTTTCTACAAAGCAGTATTGTCTGATGATCAATGTTTTTACTTCATTTCTGTCTCCTCAGAAAAACACTCAGTGGATGAACACCTGTCTGCACTGATACACAAAGTGAGCAATGTCATATCTGTGTGACCACGCAGAGTACAGCTTTTATTAAATAAGATGCAGGTTTAAATTCATATCAACATTAATGATGATAAATTAAACCAAAGTCATGATTTGAATTAAATACAATGAATTCATCAACAAAATCTAATGTTCACATAAGGGGTTTGTATGACCAAATCTACAGTGGCCTAGATGATCTTGTAGAAAACATTAGAATATTCAAATGACTAAAATAATAATGACATCAATAAGGTGCAATAAGATAAATTTAATAAACATATTTTCACTTTGAACATATACTTGTAATTTTCCAGGTGGCAACAATGAGGATGTTCAAAGAGCTGCTTTTGGAAACACTCCGTGATTTGAGTAACGTGGAGCTCAAGAAATTCAAGTGTTTGCTGCAGTTCATGCTCTTCCAGAGGAGCCTTGAACTCATCCTATGGAGTGAACTGGAGTCGACCAACAGTACAGACCAACTGGTTGATGTGATGTTGGAGAGATGCAGTCAACAGTCTGTGGAGGTGACCAAGGAGGTTTTGATGGACATGAACAGGACTGATCTGGTGCAGAGGCTGCCAGAGACCAGCTCAGGACAAGAAGGTAAGATAAAGAAGACAACTGTAACTTTATATGTAATAATAAATAAATATGTATTGTTACAAAATCAGCAGCTTATAGTCAAAGCAATGCAGTAACAACATGTAGGCCTGTCATGACCCCAGAACAACCAAAGAGCTGAAACAACACCTCTTTATATTTATATACTGTCTGTCCTTTTTATTGTGTTGTTATCTTGCCAAGGGTACTACACGTAATTTCGTTGTGCAATGTACAATGACAATAAATTCTTCTATTCTATTCTATTCTATTCTATTCTATTCTATTCTCTCAAACACAGTCTCAACTACAAACTGAATATCAGCTTCACAGAGTTAGGTGTCTGTTATTTTAATAATATGGGAATATGCTTCTCACTCTGTGAAATGAATGAAGTGACTCATTTAACAAACTAAATTTACGTATGCTTACAAAATAAAAACTAAATGTGAAATGAGACAAAGATTACCTCAGAGGTGAATGTTTTGGATTTCACAAGCTTCTCAACATCTTTTCTTTGAAAACATTCTCTGTGATTGGGCCACATGATCTTTGATCCATTAAATTTGTGTATTTTGAGCTCATTATCAGTCTTGTATTGTATTTAGCCTGATAGGAATCGGACAAATGTTGTCTCCATGATTTCACATTAATTCGTTGAGTTGTCTCTGTGTAAAGCTTTGATTTGACTTATACTACACTCCACTGTGGAGACAGACAGGCAATCTGTGTCAGGCAGATTATTACAGGGTTTTCTCAATGATTCCCTCTGTCATCTCTGTAACCATGGCTTTCTCCTGCCTTCAGTCCACACACCTGAAACTGAAATATTAAAGACTTTTTGTTCTCCGGAGGACTGAGTATTCCACTCAGGACAAGAACACATAAAGGCTTCACACAGTGTCTTTATTATTATGATTACAGTTGTCATTAAATGTGTTGCAGCTGCAGGATCATCAGCTGAAGCTTTTGGTGTGAGAACCACAGAGAGAGGTATGTGTCCTATAACTTAAGACTTAAAAAAACTAATTAAATATAAAAAAACAAATATTTCTCACAAGCTAAAAATAATGTTTCCTCTAAGCACTGCAGTTCTTTTAATTTACATTTCAGAGTATGAACCTTTAACAGAGTTTAATAGCAAAGAAGACGTCAGGTGAAACCATCATTGATTTTTATGATGTTACTGTTAAGGTTGATTTTTTTGTTCATTTAACCAGTTCTAATATAAATCCTTGATATTAGAATTATAACAGTCTGACAGT